CAGTACCTATAATAGTAATAATTGTTGTGTTGACTGTTGACATTAGATTAGATATTCTTTAGTCTTTTGATTGACAACCGTAGATATACACGCGTACTTGTATTACGTATAATTTCCTTAGTAATCGAAATTATATTTCTCGTAATACGCCGTTAAAAGTGACCGCGATTTATTCTTTTAATTTAATTGGTGACGTTTGTATTATAGTTGTAAGTTGTTATACTGTAATAATTTCATTTTATTTTTTTTTATTGAACAAAAACATAATGTCTAAGAGGAAAAATGTCGATATTACACATTTTTTTTAAAAAAAAAAGTGCAACTAGTGCAAGTACTGTGGAAAATGATGATCGAACAACTGAGGAAAATAAAAATCGAATTGCAATGGATTCAAGTGAGACGTCTTTACCATCCAAAAAAAAGTATTCATTATAAATTTATAAATAATCAGGAATTGCATTATGTACTATTGCATTTATAACTATTTATATATATATATATATATATATAATAATAATATAATATAATATACTCTTATTTAGCAGTAGGTATCTAAATATGTATACTTATTTATAATCCCCCCCCCGTTAAGGTAGGCTGGATCCGCGCCTGTCCCCGTCAACGGCAAACAGTACCTTTGACGCTTTGGTAAAAACGAAAACGTTTGCGGTCACCGGCAGCCGCAGAGTTGTTGACGCGTTTAGACGAAAGTGTACCGCCGATTGGACAACGCGCAAAGCAGTACACCGCCGTCAGCCGCACGCGTCCGGCGCGTCACAGGAACCTTTAGGCCCGGCGCACATTGAGACGCAGGTGACGCAGGATAGCGCAGCGTAGTTTTCTGTAATCTATTAGTTATAACGTACTAGCGCATATTGGGAAGCAGGGCAGGACAGAGCAGTGCTGTGCCTGTGTCACGCAGTGTCTGCGACACAGATTACTGTGCACATTGGTCAGTGAATTTGCTATAAATATTTAAGTAATTATTGTTAAAAATGTATTATAAAGATATTAAAGTTATGTTTTTTATCATACCTGTTTGTTAAAGTTAATGTAATAATATATTTAATGAAACCACTAATATCTCAGATAGGATATATTAATGCCCATGTACATTTTATCGATAATGTATTACTTATTTTATATTTCGATTTTAAAATAATCACGGCGGCACGTGTCATTAGTGATTCTGTTTTTAGTGTTTTTGGCTATTTTTAATAAAACAAGATGATATAATAGATAACAATAAATATTTTAGTAATAATAAGATTACTAGTAATAATAATTCTAAGTAAAACATTTCTTTAACTAAAAATCTAAATTGTAAGTTATAATTTTTTATACGCATATTTTATTTTAACATTTCTCCGATTAGAACTGCATTTTACAATTTGTCTTCGAAATATTAAAATATACTAACTTTTCGCCAATTTCTGGTCGTTACTATACATGGGCAATCTAGGGTCAACAAATCAAAAAGCAACCTGTAACATAAAACTGATAAAATAAAAATGTATACGTAAGTAACACAAAATACTCCACACGGACGAAGCCGGGTTATGCAGCTAGTATATATACCAGTATATATAAATAAATTACGTGTCGTACTGATTTTGACGAGACGGAAACAGTAGGTCTGGAGTAAAATATAAAATATTATGTTTTTAATTCGGCTCTCCCTGATGGTATACACCTAATCGTTTCTTCTTGACATCGTCGTTACGAATTTTGATTGATACTGTTCGCGATGATTATACGTTTTTCCATCTCCAATTTATCAACCGACGCGTCTTTTTGTACTGATGTTCTGACAACTCCGCGCGTCTCGCGGTACTCGGAAGGGTTTTTATTTTATTTGTATTTTATTTTTTTCGTTTGCCCGCCTCGGTCCTGTGCGGCGCCCGCGTTTCACCGTCGTACTCGCATAATAGTTACATAAAAGGTGCGCGGTAAAAAATAGATAGGTACGGGTGGCGGAGTCGTGTATTTTTTGTCCGTCGGCAAAGCGTTGTGCACGAACCGTCCGAGAACTGGGACAAGTCGCAGATTCAAAATTTATTTTTTTAGGTTAGACGTTTTTTATATATATATATATATACGTTATTGTTGGACGATGAATAATAGTGTAATAACAATAGTGTAGATCATTAATAGTTCTAAAAAACAATGTTATTATTAGGGTCCATTTTGCATCGCAGTGCTATCAAGGGTAACCTCTTTTTAAACTCTAGGAACGTTTTTACTATAGTGATTTTGATTGGAACGGGATTCGGAAGGATAAGAGGTGAACGTCATACTGATCAATAATGTACGGCAAAATGTTTTACAGCAAAAAAGCTGTAATACTTGAAAAATGTAACATAAAAACAAAAAAAAAGGATCCAAAATAACCAAAAAATCATTAATATAAAAAAAAAAACGCAAAAAAAGTAAAACAAAATGTCGTGAATTTTATTCTAAGTAGTATAAATCAAATTTGTAGCTGACATAGTTTAGTTTTAGAGCAAGTTTTAGAAAAAAAAAACAAATGCCTTCAAAATCCGTCTTTAGTTATAATAATATTATATTGTAGTATAATATAATTAATGTAGGTTCATTTCAAATAATATTATAATTGTTTGTAAATGTTATCAGTGTCAGATCTGGGAAATTTGACGCCCGGGGCAAATAAAAATGCAGTGCCCTTACGTGGGTGGAAATAAGGGATACATCGGGTGTCAACGCAAAACCAAATATTTTAACACAAGTCAAAAAGTAGGTATATTTTTAAATAGAAATATTTGTATTGAAACCATTGTTTTCATATATATTATTTATAAGGTACAGAATATTTTACTTGAAAATCATTAAAAAATATCAAAACATAAATTAAAAATCTCTCGGAGACTTTAAATTTAAAAAAAAAATTGTATTTCCGAACAATTTTATACTTCAACATCAATTTTTCTAACTTTTTAGGTAGAGAAACCATTAATTTTGTCATTGTAAGTGATTTGTTTTTGCAATCATATTTTCCACGGTTATAGACAAGTGGTTAAGTCTTGCTCGCTCTACAATATATCGTAGGCAGATGCAGACTGGCCCGGAAGTATACTGGACAGGAGGGCGGTGCCTTGTCGTATGATTATATCGGTACATAAATATAGTCAGGGGTTAAAGGAAGATACGCAAAGTCCCCCTACCTATCGCAGCGCTTACAAAGCATCTCTTTTAATATTTTTCCGAAAAGTTTACTGAAACGCTCAACCGTTTGTTAAAAATTATACACAACAAAACAGTTGAAAAATTAGCTTTTTGCAATTCAGTTGATGCCACTAGGTATTGACAGTGTTCTAGAAGAAAACTAGCTCGTATTAAACATTAATTATATATTATATACTTATAACGTATAAGTATACATTTTTTTCGTTTTTTTCTATTTTATTAAAATATATTTACAATCTGTTATTTAAAACAGTAAGTTAATAATTTACTTGTTTATACATTTTTACAGCACATGAATGGTTTGTGGAGGAAATTGTTCATTAACAACTTCTTCTAATACATATACCTATTTGTAATTAATCGTAATTACCTATCGAAATTGTCGATAAACGATAATCGAAATTATCGAAAAACCTGTCAGTTTTTTTTTTTTTTTAACCCTGAATATAGTAATACGATATTATAGAATATACAACAAAACGTAGGCGTCGTTCAGAGCATAATCGTGAAGTTGCATCAGCCAGGCATATTGAATTATATTTTCAATTCGGTTGTGGTCTTAAAACAATTGTTAAAACACTATCAGTCGAGCGACTCATCGTAAACATGCGCGTCGCCCATTTACTTGTTCAACGGGCCCCGGTACTTCATCGGTCATCTACGTGTGTGGGCTGGTAAAAAGGGAAGCAGAGAAAGCTCGACTGTAACCGTATGCTGACTTACACGTAGCCGCAAACAGCCCCAAAACAGTAGATATTAGGTTTCCCGTTCGCGTCGAAAAATATTTTAGTACTATCGGTAACCATCATTGATTACACCCATACGTATTTATTTTTATCAAAACTATTCATTTTATGTGTTGCACATTAGCTCAAGTCGTGGTTTTTGCATAATTATATGAAATTTAATATAATTGAAATCTGTGAGACTGTACCATTGCGGTTTCTGTGCAGTTATAAAACCTGTGTAGTTTCAAGAATTTTTTGTTAGAAAATAAAAGAATTGCTCTTCTCATAACGAATAATTGGTGTTTGTAATAATTAGGGAACAGATTTATATTCAAATGCATTTATGTATTGGATTAAGTTTTTTTAAATCTAATGATAATTGTCCCCGATTTTGATCATTCTCATAAAAATAACATTCATTTTACTTTGCATATTTTGCATATTCCATGCATATTTGTAGTTTAATAGTGCATATTTTTATTACACATATATTTGTTTTATCTTATATTTTCACGTTCACAGTCACATACTATAGATACCTACAATGAAGACCGGTCATTATAGCCAAAAATAAAATGGCATACTTATATGCAACATACGAGTATATACAAATTATCATATTAATATAAATCAGGGATGGAAAACCTTTTGAACACTACGTGCGCAAAATTACCTTTTTTTTATATATATATATATATAGAGCGTGCCATGAAAAAAATATTATATTTTGTTATATTATAATTTGATTTTATAATTAATGTATTAGTATAAAAAGGATAGTTTAGGTACATAATAATAATAATATATAATAAATAATAATAATTATTAAAATAATATTGCTTTATTAATTATTTATTTTGATGTGATTTTTGTTGTAGAACACTTGATGTCAATTCGTTGATATTTGGTTTATAGTTAGTAACTTTTAATAAACTACATAATAAACCGCACATGCAGCACTACATTCATCAGTTAATCGGTTTCTTAAATCTGATTTTATAAAATTCATTTCTAAAAATAGTGACTGGCATGAATAAGTTAAAGAAAATATAGACAAAACAGCTAATGCTACTTTTTTAAAGTGGAATAATCTTTCGGAATTTCATTCCATACTTTCAAAATCTTGTCCCCTATGTTTACGACCAATTTGCCTATTGTCCTATCACGCTGAATTTTTTCTAATTCATTTCTCAGTATAACGGATTTTTCTTTCCATATGGTACTCGACTGAAAATCTACAAGCTGCATTTTAAAAGCATCTAAATTCAACCATTCTAACACTTTTAAGTTGAGTTTTTCTAACTACAATGTGTTTGGATAAATAATAATTTTCATGGTTTCTTCAAATTCTTTAAACTGAGTAAAGCGTGTAGAGAATTCATTCATAGCTGTCTCAATAATATTTGAAAATTCTTGGATACGATGAGTAATATCAGGTTTATTAAAAATTTCCAATTCCGAAATAAACTTTTTAAGGTTAGGAAAATATTTGAAATTTTTGTTTATTATGTCACGGTTAAATATTTTTAATTTTACCAGAAATGCTTGTATCATATCAAACATACAAGTAATTATTTCATTATCACCTTGTAGTTTAATATTCAAATTATTTAAATGCTGGGTGAAATCTGCAAAGAACATCAATCTGGCTATCCACTCCAAGTCAGATAATTCTTCATGTATTTGATTTTGTTCGTCCAAAAACTTCTTAATTTCGTCAGAGCATTCAATACACCTTTGGAGAACATTGCCACAACTAAGCCAGCGAACATCATTGAACATAAATAAACCTCGTTTAATAATCGTCAATGACCGATAAAAGCCATATGCTAAAAATATTTTTACCTATTACCTATAATATTATATATTATATGATACATAATAGTAAAAATTTTCGCGTGACATATCGAGCACGCGTGCCATGGATTTGCCATCACTGATATAGATATATTCATATGATAGATTTGAACACTTGAACTTGACAGAATTACGAAAACCAAACAGTCAGTGCGTGCATTCGTGCGTATATTTTTACGTAAAAAACTGTCGCAGTCTTTGTGTCCAGTAATTTTATTCTATTATTCGTTCGTAACTTTAAAATGCCTAGAGTAAAAACACTAATTATGAGTCGTTTACAGATATACGTATACGAGCAAAAAAATATTTATAAAACCAATGGTTCAATTTTGTATTACAACATGTGTGAAATTTTTACATAATTTAAAAAAAATATATTTTTGATTTAATTTTAAGTGCATATTTTGTAGCATATTACAGAAAATAATGTTTTGGCGGCTAAGCCCCTCTCTAGCCGCCAACCAATTACGCTTAGGGTCAGAAAGTAAGACCGCTATTATATCTGGGATATTGGGCCGGATCCTACCCAGTCCATCTCTGTTCGATCGCACAAGACCACGGGGCCATTTGTTCAATGCCATCCCGGTACATGTCCGTATAATGTAACAATAACAAATAACGATCGGAAAACAATAACAGATTCAATCGTACGTATTTCGTTGCTGTGATCATAAAAACCGCATTTGCTTCGCACATCAACAAAACGCGTTCCATATATCTATCACCATTGATCATAATATTGAGGATAATCAATTTTTACAGTGCTCAACCGATTTTGACCTTCACTTTGTACAAGATAATATCGGTTATCATCGCATCAACTTCTATCTATAGTACAGTACATTATTAAATATCTTAATTAATCCTACACAATGAAAAAAAAACGATCTTATTCGACAGCATTAACTGATTTAATTGATCAAATAATAATTTTAAATAGTACTTGGATACAAAATTACAAATACAATAAATAATAATAATCATCTATAATATGATATTGTCGTTCAATTTAATTGTATTTAATTAAAATTAGATCACAGTAAGATGTTATGGTTCAATTATGCTCTTTAAAATTGACATTTTAAGTGTTTTCAGTAAATGAATGTTTTCAATTTTTCCTCAGTCGTGAATATTTTAAAACTTTTTATTTTCTCTTTTAATATTATTATAGTACAATTTTTTTTTCAATTTTTTACGTTCATATAGATTTATACTAGGTATGATCATTATCAAAATAATATTGTTGTCAGTATAACCTATGAAATATAATATAAAAGTATACTAAATAAATACAATATAATAAATACAATAAACACATGAAATTCAATATTATAATCTAGAATATAAATTAATCTACATAACAAAGAACTTAAATAAATCTACTTGAACTATATCCTATATGAAACAAGAATAATTTAATACAAATATATAATAAATCAATTATTTTACAAACTTTCCAAAGAATTTTAAATTTAACACAATATATTTTTTTATAAAAAAAAAAACCAAAATTTGGTTCACATGATTATTTCAAAATGAACAAAACGAGTAATTATACTAAAAATAATAATACTTAATTAAAAGGATGATGTGGTTCCAGTAACATAAAATTAATTTAATATTGAACAAATTACGAGTCTTAATTTTTATACTTTTATTATGTATACATTACAAAATGCTTAATTTATTACTTTTTTCGTATCTATTGATATTTCATAGAATTTTTATTAACTGTCTATTAAAATCAAATCAGTAAGACCATGAATTACACTATAAATCTTAATGTACATTTTTTAAGATTAAGGGTAGATTGCATAAAGACCAATCTGTAAATGTATTAATGAATATTTATTTATTCAATAAACTGCTCTGAAAAATATAATACACCGTAATGCACAAAATTATATTAAATTAATATTAATCAAGGTTACCAAATAAATAATACCATTTAATTAATTAAATATTTGCTTATATTTATATGCTTATATATTAAACACTTGCATTTTCAAATCGGTTTAAATTATAAAATAAGAAATTGGATTTTCTACCATATTTACCGATCTGTAAAATCTACAAAGATATTTACACTAATGGGCGTTCAATCAATATGCAATTTCCTTCAACTTATCATAAAAACCATTAAAGTGACTTTCTATATATCACAAATTAATGTTTATGCAACCATCCCCAAAACAGGCAATCAGCATAATAATACAATAAATATTATTTGCATTCCGTTTTAAATAAACATTATTACTAAATTATAACATATAACAATGAAAATTATTAATTTCACTAACCAAAAACCTCAAAGTAAAATATAATATAATAACTAAATGTAATATCAAATTAGACATTAATGAACACTACAGAAGTAATTTAATGACTTTTTTATGCATTAAAATTATTTAACTGAATATTATTGTGGTAAATAACAAAAACATTTTTAACTCATATAACAAAGTATTTTAAATTAAATTAAAAAAAAGAAATAATATATAAAGAAATATATCATTTATAACTTACTAATTAAACAAAGAATATCACTGGTACTAATAATGTTAAGATACTGTTAAGGTAATCAATGTTTACTAATTTACTAATTTACTAAGTGTTTACTAATAAACACATAGCAGGGGCGAGTTTTATCACTAACCAAGGGAGGGGCTAATGGAGGTTTAAGAATTTAGTTAGTTGGTTTTTTAAATCTATATAAAATTTTAAATTACAGAATATGTTTTTGAGTCCCTCATAAGTAAGTCATTTTTTTTCACAATAATGACAAAGTTTAAATAGTTACATTATTGGTATCAATTTTAATCACTGGTACTAATAATGTTAAGATATTGTTAAAGTAATCAATGTTACACTAAGTCTGTGAATAAATAATAGTCAGAACATAAATCTTAAGTTACAAGTCTTTAAACAGTCATGACAGTTGTTGAGCCAGAAATTCTCAAAAAAAAAGGTTAGTTATACAATTGTTTATACCTCATTTTAAGAATATATTTAAAAACCTTCAAATGTAACGAAATAACAAAATCATAACACACTCTTGATACCTCCATTATCAAAGCAAATACCATTATTCGCATTATAAAATATTGGTATTATTTGATAGTTAATTTTACAATTAAAAGTATTTTGTGCTTTTTATTCAAAAATACAATGAAAACATTTTAGTATGAATCCAAACCACAAATACAAAAAATAAATAAATATTTTAAACATAATACATTCAATACAAACAAAGTATTATCTAATACAACTAATAGCTTTTATATAATTTTTCAGTATTCATATAAAATAATTTCTATTGCTATCAAACTTAAATTGTATATATATATATATATATATATATATATATGTATGTATGTATGTATGTATGTATGTATGTATGTATGTATGTATGTAATTATAAACTTTAAAAATAATAGGTAAAAATTAGAATAAACATCATTATGGCTCACAATAGAAGTTACAATAATTTTAAATTATTTTGAACTAAAAAGAAATATTCATTATAGTTGTCTCTTTGGTCATTTTATTATTTAAATTGAAAAAAACTAATAGAATTATCAAATTTAATACTGTAATAAAATACTAAATAAAACAAGGTATTAGAAATCGATCATAAAAATATTAGACACAACTTAATTTAATAAACATTAATTATACAATTAAGAATTTATTATTGCTTTATAAATTGATCAAAATAAGTTGAAGGTTTCATATAATTAAATAATTTATGCATAAGTATACAATATAATTATATACAAAAAAATTATTAAAAACAAATAACGTTTCCAATGTGTTAAAATACAATTAATATACAGTCATATGATTTATTACCTTACATTATGGTAACCTCACATAGTTATGTTTTTGATCTAAATTTTGAGATCAAAACTTAACTCTTAATATCTAAAGTACATTTCATTTCAATCATTTTATTGATGTTCTCTGCTCTTATTTTAAATTGTTCAAATATATCTTTCGATAATTCTTCTTTTGTAGTGTACCGACATTTTTCAAAGCTGAATATATCACGCATCAATTCAATGACTTGGTCCTAGAAAAACATTTATTTACATAAACTATTTTTAATAAAATAATCATACTAATCGTATTATTATATTTGATTCACAATATTAATTAAGGTACCAAATTAATTAATACATACTTGTGAAAATAAACACTAAATAATATGTAAATAAACTGTGCACAATTGATAAAAAAAAAATATTCGCACAAAATAAATTCACATACTTTGAAATACAGACATATTCTATTCAGTTCTTCATCTGGACCTAGGAAACCCCATGCAAGTAGTGGTGACATCTGTTCAGAAATATTGTAAAAATGGTGCATGAAACCATTAGGATATTTCAATTTACTGCGTTTGGCACGTAGAACTGACCACACTGCAGTTGATAAAGCCTAATAGAAATAATATAATCAACATCACAGAACAACCCTAACAAGTATAATTTTAAATTACAGTTTCTTTAAACCCTTTTGACAACCAACGATTTTGTATAACAGCAATCACTGATGACGGTGGAGATTCAAGATCTTCAAATGCGTCCATCAAAATGTAGTCCATCACAATATCATAAAATGTCATTTTTTTCACACCTCTAGCCGATAATTCAGCTTCAGCTTCTAACCAGTGTGCATCAAATTTTGCCCAACTTAACATTTCTTCATATGCAAGAAGAAAATCTTTAGGATCCTAAAACAAATTATGTTTAAATATGTGCTTAGTTTACTAATAAACACATAGCAGGGGCGAGTTTTATCACTAACCAAGGGAGGGGCTAATGGAGGTTTAAGAATTTAGTTAGTTGGTTTTTTAAATCTATATAAAATTTTAAATTACAGAATATGTTTTTGAGTCCCTCATAAGTAAGTCATTTTTTTTCACAATAATGACAAAGTTTAAATAGTTACATTATTGGTATCAATTTTAATCTGAAACCATTTTAAAATATAGGTAAATACATATAATTAACGACAAAAGTGAGCTATTTATTTATAAAAAAATATATAAAATAGATACCATATTCATCAATGACCATTGACGATATTTTATTATAATTATTAATATATAATAATACTTTGCTTTGTAAAATAGATAGCTTAGTCCCAAGGAGGGGGGCTAATGCCCTCTTAGCCACTCCCTTAAATCTGCCCGTGACACATAGTTAAAATATAAGTACAATTAAATATGGATTACTTTTTCAGCAAACAAAAATATATCAGTAAGTATACGTCTTCCACAGTCAGCAAACCACATTGAGTTGTTTTCAGTCTTGAATAAGTACTCAAAAGATTGTCGAATACAATGTAATTTACATACATATTCTTTATCAGATGCACAGTTTACTAGTGTTGTACGATAATTTCTAAAAAAAAAAAACAAAAAATTGAATTCAAACCTCAATTTAATATTTCACATTTGTACAGTAGAGATATTTTGTTTTATTTATTTTTATTTTATTCTTCAAAAAAAAATAAAAGACCTCACTAAACATGTTCATATAAATTATATACACTTAAATTTAAATTATTATCTCCTTTTTTTTAAAAAAAGATTTTTAGTTTAAATATTAATTTTTAAGTTCAGACGTTTTTATTGTTTATTTTAATAATTAATGAAACCTATGCGAGGAATAAAGAAGAATAATATAATAAATCTTAAAATTAATATCAATTAAAGAATTATATAATCAGAAAATTATTATAAAAACAAGATTGAAAACCAAGTATTGTTTTAACTGAAAAATAATCATCAATTATTAATATTAATTTTATTTATCATGAATTATACATGAATAAATTGATTAAAATCAAATCAAGAAAATTAGACACACTAGTGTACATTATACACATTAAGTGATATTCCTAATTTAAAATATTTTGATAAATGCTTGATAAAAACTAAATCATTGCAGTTTAAAGATTTATTTAAAATAAATAAATAATATTTAACAAATAATCATATACCTGCATGATATTCCTTCGTTCTCTGCATATTTCATAGCATTTTGATATAAATAATAGTTATCAAAGTTTAAATCTTCAAATTCTCTTAAATTTGCCACCTAAAATATTATAATGCTAAATTAGTTAAGTTACATGTAATATGTAATACTTTTAAATAACTTGATAATAACTCAATAGATACACGATGTACATTAACCTGTATAATTTTAAATACAAACTATTCTTAAATATATAATTTTTGTTTTTAATTAAATTAAAATACTGTAAAATAATATTAAAATCTAGTTTTAGACACAAAATTTAATTTTTACTAACAAAACTACTGCTTATAATAAATATTAAAGAAATACAAATATTAAAAAAAAAAAAAAATAAGTTATTTTTTTATTAATAAACAATAGAACATTAGTTCTTATGTGAACAGAAACTATGTTCGACTTAAATTCTATAGTAATAAATAAATTATCCTGAAAATACATTACATCTGTGCGCGCTGATACAAAACTGTCAACTGATGATCGACGATCGTCGAACCTTGTACAATCAGCATTTCCATTACGTTGAACTCGAAATAATACTGATCTCTAGGTTGAACAGAAAAGTTGAGATGAAATGCAACTTTTTATGTGTACATAGTTTAAAACGTTTAACTATCTAACACTTACCTGATCTAGAAAAAGAAGTTGACATTGATCTTGTAAAGAGTATGCAGAATCCACCAACAGTTGAAGTTCTTTACAAAATTGAGAATCTTCAGTGGACATAAGTTTATTAGAAACATTGTTCGAGTTATTTCCGGAAAATGCTGATAATGCATCTTCCCAAAATGATATACTACAAGCTAATGATTCCATTCCTAAAAATATTAAATAACAATTATGAAATCAACTTGAAAATACAATTTTTATGAACAATATTTAATATATTTATTACCCATTACACCCAATTGTTGAGGAGCAGTATACTTCACTTCAGATGTTTTGCAATGACCAGGAGAATCTTGAGTTGAAGATACCACAGAGGTTTGCCGGTTGGTTGATTTAATACTTGGGCTCAGTGATCTATGACTTGTTCTAAAAATTCTAAAACTAGACACTAGAATATAAAAATTAAAATAACTGATTAAAATAACTACCTATATATTTATTAATCAATAACAATATTTACCGGAAGGTATGTCCATATTTGCTTTTCTCTTATCATAAGAGAAATGTTTAATAACTGGTGCTGATTCTCTAGAATACTTTCTTCTTTTCCAATAGTTTCCTAACACTACCAATAAGGTAGTGCTGATGGCCAACCCCACTGAAATAGATACTCGGAAACCCTAAAATAGTCAAAATTATATTAATTAATAAATGATATTTTAAGAATATGAACAAACTTATTGCAATCATTAGTTATTAAGTTAAATCAATTGATGAAAAAATAAATAAATATACTAATGAATTATAAATACAAATATTAACTTATAAACAAACTAAATAATTCGCTTAAGACCCTTTGATTCTTATGTCAGTATTGATTAAAAATTAAACATTAATTTGTAATGCTTTTAATCAGGACATACAACTAAAAATTATTTTAATATAATTAATAAATTACAATAATAATTTAAAATATATAAATAAGTTTTCAATAGTTATTTCACTCAAAAGCTTTGGAAATTGACTGCATTATTCAATGGCATCACAGAATTTTTTCAATTGAGCCACTCCCCTCATTTAAAAAGTCCTTCAACTAGAAAATAAAAATTTGCTGAAAATATTTATACATTTTTAACAATCAAAGTCTTGAGAATTTTAAATATTTAAACTCTTGAATTTTCTTTTTCTTTAAAAAAAAAAAAAAAAATTACTAAGAAAGTAAATATGTGTATAAATTATTATATTAAATCAGTCTTAAGAAATATTAATGTTGTAGTGATAATGTGTTTTCATATTAATCACAAAGCAACAGATTAAATTAGTTATAAAATAATAAAAATAAAAAAATAAAGTATAACAAAATAAATAAAAAAATATTAAAATTAAATGGAATATTGGTTTTTTTATCAGGAGCCTACAACCAAAATGTAAAAACTTTGTTAAAACAATTTTTGTAATATTTTATATTATAAATTTGAGTACCTTAAAAAAAAAAGTAAATCGTATTAAGTACATTGAAAATTATTTATATATTCAAATATATAATTTTAATGAACAGTTATGAAAAGTCAATTAAATTGAGAAATGCTAAAAATTACAAAAATTTGCCCTACAAATATTTAGATTTTAATTTATAATTGCATTAAACAAATTTTAATCAACATCGCAAAATAAATCAAACAAAGAAAAAAAAAAGTTGCAACAACTTCCAAGCCCTAAAAATAATTTTAAATAAACTTTTTATATGTACTACTATCACCTTATTTTCCAAAAATTTTAATTCAAACAATTTACTAGAAAAAAATGAAAATGTAAACATAATTATAGTTTCACAAAATTAACTACCGTTAAATGTACATAAAAAACTTTACTTCTTGGCAAACGTTTAAATCTAAATATTGGTAAAATAAAAATACGACAAAAGATTAATATACACAATTTCTTACATTATTATATAAAAAAATAAAAAAAAAAAAAACCATAAATGGATTGGTAACATTTTTCTGACCAAGAAATAAACTATATAAACACTGATTATGAAATCAGTCTTGCTCAATCTTAATATGCTACAATAATGTTTCTTTAACTTAAAAATAAACTTAAAAAACAGAACAAAATGTTTGCACCCATGTTTGCATATTTAATTTTTAAGACATAAATAAAAAGTTTATGTTAATGATTTAAATCATCATCAATTATATTATTAATTTTAATCAGTAATTTGCAGTTAGTTTTTTTTAAAAATTATTCAACTCGAAGAAACATTTTAAAGCTCAGATTGTAATAATGGTTTTGTCACTGTTTTTAAATGTTAAGCTTGACTTGTATGAACCATTTTCAGACAATGCATTATTGAGAATATCAAAATTAGTAGATTTATTATTTAAATTGAATAATCATTTGGATATTACCAAAATGTTAATATGAAGTATATTTGAGTGATTCACTAATATTCATTAAAACGAGTCAATGGTTTATTTTTAGGAAGAAATGTAAAAGAAAACTAAGAAATATAGTTACATATATATATATATATAGTATACAAACATATAAATTCTTATACAAAATGATATACAAAAAATTAGTAGTATATAAAAGTCTGCTAATTGTCTTTATAATAAAATGCACAAAAGTAATACAAAAAATAAAAAATAAAAAAAATACTGAAAAATGTACTGCATAAATATAGACCATTTATTTTTATTATATCTATTTTCTATTTAGTTCTAAAAAATTATTTTTATTTTTAATTAAACTACCTACTTAATAATTATATGATATTAAGTTGGCCATATGATAAATCATAAAAAGATTGTAAACTAAATTTGGCAGATCACTTTTTTTCGTTGGCAGCTGAACAAATATTTTTGAGTGCATTAGTTCAATTTAATGTTATTATTAATAGTAACATATAACATATACAAAAATCTAAATAATTTAACAACCATAATACATAATTTTTTAACAATAAAAATAAATATTACTCGTAATAAATACATTTGAAAAGATATAGGAACTAATTAAAAAAATGTACATTTAATTTTTTTTTATCATTCATTGTATTGTCATAATCTTTAACTTACATTTTTATAAATTAGAGTGAATTTCAATTTTTTCAAAATTCTAATAAATGTATATGTAAACAACATATTTTTCCTGCCTATTACTATACCTGTAAATTAGTAAATAATATAGTACAATATTCTTTAGTCAAATGTCGCTGTCAAGTTTTTCGTCATCTCAAAATATATTGAAATTCCTTTGAACCTACCATTACACTCAATAACATTTATTCATGATAACTCAATGTAAATTCTGCTTTTTGTTATCTCAAACACACAAATAATATTTTTATTACTGTAAGAAGAGAAAATTGTATAGTATATTCAGTACTAGCACATTTGAAGTCAATATTTGTAGTTTTTCATATACACATTATATTGTCAATATAATGAAATGAAAAAATAAGGATAAATTAAATATTCTGAATATGTCGGACAAAGTTCATTTGATAAAGTTAGTTGAAAAAGGTAGCCGTAAAAAATATGAAATCGCCAATGAATTCAATATTCCATCAAATACATTATTGTCAATTATTAAAAAGAAAGATAAAATGTTCAATTATGTCAATCTCATTTAAATATCGATAAATGTTTATTAAAATAATTTACTCAGTGCCGAGATAAAAACATACCGTATAGATTTTTAAAAAAATGTATTTATTAAATATTGTAGTTTGTTGATATTTTTGAAAATTAGTATTCTAAGTATTCAAATTATGTATTTTTTTTAAGTTCTTAAATTTTTTTAATAAAACTCAATATTTTAAATTTGTTGATATATCAAACTATTTCCAGTTCCCCTTTAGATTTTATGTAACAAGAATCTGCAGTACTAACATTAGATACATTAAATATGTACAATTTTAAAGTTAAACAAATAATTATGAAATTAAATGTTTGATTTAAACAGGTTTAAATACATATTATTTCTTGTTAACCAAACTAAACACATGTGAAAACCTATTCACTGTTAATATTAATATTAAATCTTTATCATAGACAAAAACTAACATTCTAATTTTATTTTTTTTATAAACGTAAGTGAATTATGTGATTAATGATAATAAATATACAACTTATAATACATTGTACAATTCAACCAATCATGAGTAGGTACTTGACATTTCTATGACTTACATAAAATAACTTCTACTGAATAATAAATAGTTTAATATATTAGAGAAATTGGAATAAAGAATAATTTTTTATAGTATAAAATACTAAAATATCATACAATTTCAATATATTTATGTCTATAACTACATAAAAGTATCCTACCTAACATGTAAAGCATCCTCAAAAATGTTTATTATTTATATTTAAATTTAGTTCAATGTATGATATAAAATAAAGACAATAATATTTCCTACATTAACAAACTTATTAACTTTTACCAGACTTAAAAAAAAAAGTAACAAAAAATAAGAAAAACTAAATAGTGTTTCCTTGTTTAACAATATTTAAAAAAAAAAATAATTATTAATAAATAGATAATTATTAAATCAAATATTATTAAATTGTTACTACATTATTTTTCAACGTATTAAATATTAAAATAATCTTAATTCTTAGTTATAAAATAAAATAAAATATAATTTAAATGATCAGTATAAAATATAAAAGGAAATAAATAGGTAAAACACTTAACAGAAAATTGATGTACCTAACACATATTAGAGGTACAATCGACATTATTATAAATCATAAAAGTCAGGGAAAAGTTGCATAATTAACAAGAAAATAAAATTATTCCATATTTATTACCAGGTATTAAATTGATAGATACTGGTCATGAATTGGAAACAAGTGGCTGTAAAACAAAAATTAAAATAATGTTATAGTATGCCTTGGGACTGTCAGAAATGTTGGCTGATGATTTTTGTAAGATTATTTAATTCTAGTATCTGGTGGTTAGAAGGAACGACCAACGGTAGACATTCCATACCTCCATGACCATATCAAGATTCCAAAATGAGTTTCCCACAAAGTATGTCGAATGTTATTGTACTATTTGATAATTCTAAAACTTGTTTATTAATCCTTTAACAGTATTTCTAAAGATTTGGATATTAATTACATTTGTTTGTGCAATCCATCAAGTATAAGCCACAGTATTTTAATAAAACTTAATTTACAAAAAAGTCAATGGCACAGGGGCTACCGAAAGAAGGGCCATCGCTATGTGGGCAACAGTCACGTAGACCACAAGAAGGAAAACATAATGGATCCGACTTACGTGTTCAGAGATATGCTTTCTCAACAGCCCGGTGAGCTTGGTCAGCGGGTACAGAACGAGTGCGGACTTTTTGCCGCACATGATTCGAAAACTGACACGGGATCAACGGTCTCCGGCGAACGCATAACAGATACGAAACATGATTATAACACCAGGCGGCGGGCGGGCAAGGGGGTTCCTCGGAGAAGATATTGAAAATCTCGGTTATTGAAGAAAACCCATAGAGCTGAAAGTACTGGACATGAAAAGGGCTGCCGGAACGCAGGGTTACGCGATGATGTTGTACAAAGTATCGTTTCCGCCGTCCGTATCAGCGGACCGCGACCGACCAGTTATCACACGTGATAAGAGATTGCCGTGATTATCGGGCCGGTTCGACCGCTGGAGTGATTGGCACATAGAAAAGTGATTAGCACTTGGATTGGCACTTATCCAAAAAATTATAAGGACCTACGAAATGATAAGGTCCGAAATTTGAAAATGCAGTACCAACTGACTAAATCGAAAATTACCAAATCCAATTATATAATTTCTATTGATAAAAGTTATACAATATCCCCTGGTTTTCAAAGTGGGAAAAATACTAATAAGTTATACCGTTTTCAACAAAAATTTTAATTCTTTTCATTTTTTTTTTTTTTTTTTTTTTGTATATTTTCAACAAAACTTTTTATTCTTTTTTTACTTTTTTGTTTGCATATTTTCAATAAAAATAGACCAAAATTTAAACAACTATGGTAACATATAATCATGTAAGTAGGTATAACATTAAATCATGGATATATTTTCGAATTAAAACTTTGACTTGTATTTTTAATATAATACTTAATATAATACTTTGTATTTTTTTAATATAATACTTTGTATTTTTTTACTTTTATTTTTAGTAACCAATGTAATTAGAGAAGGGTACCTAATGTTTTTCTGTTCTTACAATTCTTCTTAATATCCATCTAAAAAACATATCCATGTTATAAATCTATGTAATATATCATGTATGTTTATAAATATCTAGCTTAATATTTAATTGTATGTAAACTTTTCGTAAAATATATGTTTTTCATAATTTTTTTAACTTTCTATATACTAGTATGTAAATAGTATAAAATATTAAATGTTTTAGTTTTAAGTATGTAGTGAAAAAATAAGTATTCAAAAATTTATAATTATTTTATATAATTGATACCTATGTTCATTTTATATGTAACTAATTATGTTATTACTATCAAAAAATATAACTATCATCATTCAAATGAAACAGTATAACTTCTTAAACAAAAAAATGTTATAATATAATTTTTAGAAATTTTATGTTGGCAACTCATTTTATGTCGCCGTTTTCGATTCCGGTCCTTATTACTTTTCAGAAAATTGCCCCCAGCTCCGACCGCGGTTCAATGCGCCAGCCGCGATCGACCGCAGTCTTCATACAATTTGACCGGTAGATAACATAATTCAACGGTCGCGAAGCATACAACGAATATTTTGCATTCAAATTCTTTAAAATCGCCAACGAAAAATAATAGTTTATGACCAAGGGCAGTGGTATATCCACAAGGGGAGGGTCAGAACCCCCCCATAAACCTGAGATGGTAAATTAACTTTTACATGAAACACGGTTTTTTTTTAACATTTTTATATTTTAGAAGTTTGACTTAGAAATCATATTAATAGTTTGTATAAGTACTATAAACGTATTATACACACCTACACACACACACACACGCACGCATGCGCACAAATCATAATATTATGTTCATATTTAGATACTTTACTACTACCTACTTTGATAATTTTTGCGGAACTCTCGTCGTAAGCTATCTACATGTACTTTGATCGCGTTATATATTATCTAACTTTCGGGTGATATCTACTTTGTACGGAGACTGATATTGCTGGTATAACCGTATAATTATAAACATCAACACTCTACAGCCTACACTTTACACATATGATAGCTAGTAGGCATATGACTTACGGTCTGTGCTAAAATTATTTTCAAATTAATTTGACGTGTTAAAGTAAAATATGGCATAAAAATACGTGGTGCCACTAACTTATTGGAACGGTAGTTGATGGAAGAGTGGTGGCGTTCACTCAATGAATCAAAGAATCTTTTTAACCAATTTTTTGAAGACATGAAAAAAATTTCATTCAATGTAATATTGCCCAGATACCCAGATGACCAGATGACACCTGCAATCTAAAGAATGCAGGGAGAAAATTATAGGTAACATACAAACGCCTACAATTTTGGTAGATACATTTCTCATGTAGATAGCATACGACGCGAGTTCCATTTTTGATTGGGAACATATTTACGTTTTCTACAACGGTTGATTCTAAATCTGTCGTCTGGTCCCGATAACTGACATAAAAGCGATATCATTGTCTGTATTCAAAGTTCATTTTGGGTATACCTATTGCATTCGTGGCTCACCGATCATATACAAGCACCTTATTGTGTAAAACTAATAGTCGTTGCCCGTTGGTGTCTCACTGTTTTACTTACTACTCGTTTATTCGTTTATATTTGACATTTGTATTCCATTATATTTGTTTTATTTTAATTTTACATCATTCTAAGACGTTTAAACATTCCATTTTGGTAAGATATTTTTAAAATTTAATTTTTAATATACCTAAGTGATTAAACAGAAAATATTCTAATATCTAATATTTATATTCCTATATTAGTTCCTAGTTCCTAAATTGATATTATTATTATTATTATTTATTATTATAGGCAAATTCTCTAACAAATAAGCAGACTAGAAAAATTAATAATTTATTTTTACCTAAGTCAAAAAACCAATGTCAACCAGATTTAAAAATACCGAGATCAGTACAAATAGTAGTCAAAATGATATTGATAAGATTAAATATATATAAATTTGCTGAACCCTCCCTCCCATAAAAAGTTCCTGGCTATGCCACTGACCAGTGGTGTATTGGTACGTACACGCGGGTGTATATGGCGTATACCCGTCAGCAGATTTTTGATTTTCGGTCGATACCACAATATAAATTATTATACGTTTCTACAGGGGCGTAATTTAGGAGGCGGGCAGACTACGGCAAATGTCCCACTCCATGAAATGGTAAAAAGTCGGCAATTCTTTAGTATTTAATGATCATGAATACGTATTTGTACGCCTTTGTCGTAAACATTATAACAAAGCATGTTAATTTAAATTTGAACTTTTATTTAAATAACTTTCAATAAATTTTGTTGGTTTATACTCTTCATCGGGGGCGTCATTGGAGGGGGGTGAGCAGACTACGGCAAATGCCTCACTCTATGAAATGTTAAAAAGTCGGCAATTCTTTGTCCGATGATCAAATGCTGAAATCGGTAAATAGTAAATTTTTATTTACTATTTTGTACTCGGAAATCAGATTATATTCTCTTTTCAATACACGTTCACGGTTTATTAAAAGTTGGGAAACACTGGCTCCTCCCTGGTTTATGACAATCGTTATTACGCGAACCTTATAAACTTTATTTTTCGTATATTATATATTTCTGTATATGTTATCTATATAAAACCGTTTTCGTGATATCCATACCATAAAAATTGAGTCATAATCTAAAAAAAAAACCATTAAAATCGTTCCAATTCACCCTGAACTACGGTACATTATATTTGAGATACAATTTTATGTTTTTAAAAATAGTTGTAAAGTAGGTATTAAACAAACAATACAAATAATAATGTAATTATTTAATTAGATTTATATTATTATTCCATTAAACCTATTGATAGATAACTTATAGCCTATAGGATAAATAATATTAAATTATAAATAAATGTTTTACTATCTTTAATGTTATTATTTAATTCGGTAAATTGAAAGTTTCATATTCTTTGTTTATCATCATGACATCATTCATACTAAAGACCGGATTCATACATTTTTACATATCGTTACTGGGTCTATGCAGTTTTATGAGAGTAAAAAATGTGGACGATTCGTTCAATTCTGAGTTCAAAGACAACATTTTTTTTTGCATATTTGAGAATATTTCATAGGTTAGAGAATATTTAGCTCATTTAGCATATTTTAGAATATTTGACTTTGGTGCCATCGTTGGAGATTGTATAAACTAATAACTGCAAACTAACCAATATACCTGGTGGAAAAGGTAACATAATAAAAACATAAGTGTCTCAATTATGTCAAAAAAATAAAGGTTACCAAATATTGGTAAAATTTGGGAACATTTTGTAAGGAAATAATGAAAATCTCTAGAATATTTTACACCCAGTTTAGTTGCTGACATGAATTTTGCACCTCTAACATCTGTCGATGTTAAACGTTCATTTAGTCTCTATAAACAAATTTTAAGCGATAGAAGAACTAACATGAATACAAAAAATATAGACAAATATATTATTTGTTGACGCACGATATTATCTTATTTTGTATTATTATTTTTGTACTTGTAATTGGTAATGAGTGTTGGTTTTGCTTGGTCTTGATAAAGATGTAATGCGGGCTGATTCCAATAACACATTATTATTATTATTATATTACCTATAATATATCGTATGACTTCAGTCAGTCGCGTACGTTCGATGTAATTGACACCGTCTTGTGCGGAATCGTAATAAATAAAGTATATTTTGTGAAAATAATTTGATTTACATTTTCTTTAAAACTATTTACTCCTATCCGAGAACCAAAAATATATAATCAAACGTTACAGTCCACAACATTATTGATAATTCATATAATACAATTTAAATAGTATTTTAAGTTTCTTTTTTATTCTTCAGAAAGTAAATATTTACCATTGTGTGCACCAAAGAAATATTATTATTTTATATCTTGTATTAAATAATTATTATTTAAGGATTACCTTTTGTTAGCTAATTTTTTTTTGTTTTACTATATTTTAATATATACGAGTATGATTGTTAATTTTTCATATTGTGGCTATAGTGTTAATACAACATTTAATTAAAATATACCAAAGGAATATTGTTTTTAAATTTTAATACTGTAGGCTATACTGTTATGTTTTTACTATATTCCTACTCTTAACGAAGTACAATAGTATTTCATAATAATACGCAACTTCATATATACCTCACGATTAAAAAAATGTTGTAAAAAAAAAAAAAATTGTAAAAATGCATTTTAAAACATATTGATGTTTATTGATTATTTTTGCATAATTTCGAATATTTTTACACATTTTTAAGAGAATATAATGAGAATTTATAAAGGTTTTTTAGAGAATATTAATATCATATTTAAGGTATTTTAAGAGAATATAAATCCGGTCTTTATTTATAACTAATTCTTACATGTTTTGTTCCGAAAAAATATTTTATTGATAGTCTATCGTACATAAATATTAAATATTTAAATATATAGGTACTTAACTATAATTTTTTAAATATTATGAAGTCAGTAAATTTAATAAGTTGACCCACCCTTTCAAAAGTTGAAATGACGCCTCTGCGCTTCTAAAATAACTCGAAAATAAAAAATAAATAAATAGTTCATTGGAAAAAATTTATATGAACTATGAAATTGAATAAAATATTTATCTGTTCAAGATTACAGTGTGCACTGTGTTTAATTAATTTTAAGTTAAATTTAGTTATCTGCATCATGCAATTCATAAAGCACGGTAAATTTATATCTTGTGGTGTTATATTTTATAATATAATTAGAAGTTATAATGGATTATAATTTAATTTATTCGAACGTATCAAGAAAAGTTATTTTAGGATTAATGTCCATATTTATATATAATTTATATTTTTTATATATAATTTATATCCATATTTTTTTAGTGCGTATACCCATAAATATATTTACTAATACACCGCTGTTAATGACTAGTGATGGGCGATTCTTAGAATGAATAGATGTTTTGAATCGATTTAAATAGGAATAAAAAGGTCGACGACAAAATATTGATCTTTTAAAAGATCGATTCACTTTAAATTATTGGTGAGCTATTCTTGGAAATTAATAGAACCACGAAGATCGATTTAAAAAAATTGATTCATCGAATGAAAAAGGTCGATTAAAATTACCCATCACTAGTTCCTACCTTTAGGTTAGTCGTGAGTACTCATAACTGTATCATTAGTGATGGAAAAAATCAATGGATTTCGACAGTCAATATGTTTGTAATGGAAAAGATTTATCAATCAAGAGATTAATCTCCCGGTTACTACTTAGCAGATAATAACCATTCACTAATTACTAAATAAACATTTTAAATTCTAATAAGTTGAACTGCAAGACTGTATTATGAAATCGCTTTCATTACAATAATAACTTAGCTTAATTAACTAAGCTATCTCAGTCCGTAGTTGTAAGTAACCGAGCATTTCAACTTATTTCGAGTTTTGTCACCAAGAGAATCACTCGACACTTGTGAATGTGTGAGTTATGATTTATGAATAATGAAGCAATTTTCAATGGATTATTTCAACTGATTTCGGTACAGGCCCGTAGCCAGGCCAAATCTTCAGGTGGGACAAACAAAATTGTAGGGGGCATTATAAAAAAATCAATATTAATGCTATTTTTAATTTATTAATACTACTGTAATTTTTATAATAGGTACTTTAAATTAAAATAATAAGAATTAGAATAAAGTGAACATAATAACATTTTGAATATTTTTATAATATATTATTTTTAGAATTTACCAGTTTTTTTTAAACTAAAACGGTTGTAATTTTCTATCTTTTTGCTTGTTGAATTCCCTTAATAATACATCCAAATTTAGGATTTTAAGATCTAATGAAATGGTGAATGTTATATTTATTGTTCGGTGTTGTCGTCAGACATCAATCAGATGCCATCGTATTTTCCAGTGCAAATGCTATACAATATTGCTAAAAATAATTTCTTATATTAAACAGTGCTTCTGCTGCCGATGAAATTATTATCAAGTAATAAATTATATTATATCTAACTACCACGGCTGTAGATTGTAAAACCTACTATGTACAGCCATGCTAACTACCAAATATCATGACATTATTAACGTTTGTTGGGGGGGGCAACAATCAGGCCTGGGGTGCAACGCCCCCTTTTGCCCCCCCCCTCCATAGCTACGGGCCTGTTTCGGTACCGAAAGAATCACTAAATAATTCCCAAAACAATCGATAACAATAAATAACAAAAAATAATCAAAAATTTCGAGTATTTTATCTTGATTGTTCCGATCATTACGTGTCATTATCAATTGTTTTCGTACGACGGAGATAGTTTTTGAACGAGTTCCCGAATCACTCAAATACGAGTCCACTTCTATCTTTGGTATTTCTTCTTCTTCTTTCAGAGTTGCGATTCATTTACTCGTGCGTTCAGTATTTATTTGTATGCTTTTTTTTTTCAAACATATTTTCTATTTGTTACGCGACCGTTAAATTATGCAGATAGTACCTGAAGCCCAAGATGACAAACCTTTATGAATATGCCACATTGGAATCACTACAATTATTTCACGAAATACTGGGAAGTTTTATTGATTAATTTTAAATCAATGTAATTCTTATCCGAAGTAGCAACAATATTTATGAGTGAGTAACAATTATTTTTATGAAATTAAAATACGGTTCTATACAATATCAAACTGAGAATCCTCTACTAACTTGCCTCGGAGAGAATAGTGTGGAATTGTTAAACCAGAAAAAATGTCTCGACCATGAAAATTACTTACCAATAAAACGAAAAAAAAACCGCAACAGAAATTTATATTTAAACAAAAAATCTTATTTAGGAAATCCATCTTCATTTTATTTTGCCTTAATCTGTAAAAAAAATATAAACAATTTTTCGTTCTTCGCCACTTGTCATTAAATATTCGTGACCTTTGTTGAGTATTTATTTATTATTTAATTGATTAAATACGTAAAAAAAAAAATAATAATAATAATCATATCCCCAACAAATATTTGATTGTACAATGAATTTCGTCTATAAATTTGGTTATTATATACTATTTATAATTCAAATTCTTTTATCTTTTTTGCTCTACATAAAAATGTATTATTTTTTGTGTTTTCGGACATATGAATAAATTAATATTGTAGACAATGTATGTAGTATAAATTGTATCACCATAATATATTATATTGTATAACAAAAAAATCAATAATTTGAAAAGAATATTTTATTCCTTAATAATAAACAGCGTATACCATGGTACATAATTTTTTTGGTACTTAGTTTTTAAAAACAAAAAAAAAAATTATAAAATTAAATATACAAATTTCACTTCAGTCAAATTATCCAAAAAAAAAATGGCTATTCAATTAAATTATGATTTTTATATATAAATAAAAAAAAACCATTATACATACTTAATAAAAATATATACAGACAAAATAAACCAATGATACTTAAACATAAATTATTAAGTTACAAAAATGACCAATACGTATGGATGTCAAATAATTAAAATAATAAAAAAACAATAGTTGTATTAATTTTTTTTTGTCTAGGAAAATAAAAAATAAAAAAACGAAAATTAATTTACAATACAAGTAAATATGTCATATTTTAAGGCTCAATATCATTATCAACATCTTCTTATTTTATATGGGTTTTCGTCTAGCAATGTTCCTTGGGTTATGCAGTCAAGAACCCACGTTTCATGAATCATCATATTGATCGCTAGTGGTGTATAACCAACCACTATATTAGCTTTATTCACATCTTTGGTACATTTACCACCACATGCACGCACCATTCGTTTTAAGTGATCAGCTGATGGATCACAAATGTTTGAAAAGTAAATACTACCGGCCTCATCAAATATGTGAAATTTTTCAGTTGGATCAAGAGTTGAATGAAATTGAAAATCCTTTAAAAAAAAAAAAAATTAAATAAATAAATAAAATTAATTAATGAAGTATACTTTTATTGTTTTCGACCAATTTTAATATTGGTTGTATGTATAAAAAAAAATATATACTACTTAAGGTTTACCTTAACAGGACTTGATAAACCAGATATTGAATAATCTGAATGAGACAACCATTTGCCTATTTTGAGAGATTCATGTACCTAATAAACAAATCAATAAACACATTTCATTATATAACCAAGTCAGGATAACTCAAATTACAATGTATGTCCGTTTAAATGGAATTCAATACTGATTATATTTGAAAGTATTATTTACCCAATTTTCGGAAACTATGTTACATCCATAAGCCATTGCATATACCATATTTAATGTTCGATCTGTCTGTGATTTAGTAATTAAATGAATAGTTTTACGTTCCACATTAGTTTGAAAAGTAAATGTGCCCAGGCTTTGTATGGATAGCTTCAATGTTTTTATTTCCCTGTTGAAAGAAACTTTGTTAGTAAAATATATGTAAAAACTTTTCAAATAAAAGATTATCTTACTCTTTAGTAAATCCAGTACACGCAATCCCCTTAATTTTTCTAGTTGGTTTTTTTATACGTGTGATTTGTGAAAGCGATGGAATATCAGTCATAAGGCTCGTGTTATTTAAATCATTATCTGAACTGAATAATAGTCTACGTAACCGTTGTCTAGCTTGAAGGTTTAATTTCATGTGATTTTCCATTCCAATCAAATTACTGTTAATTTCTGAGGGTGTTTTATTTTTTGTTTCTTCAGGGATTACATACTTTCTTAATATTTTTATAGACAGAGGTAGATAACATTCAGGGACTACTTCTGTATCAAAAGTGCTACTGTGGTCTGGGTCGTTTAACATACTGTATAAATGTTCTGATAATCCGTCCGTAATTTTATTCTGAATACAAAAATAAAAATTAAATGAACATCAAAAAAAAAATGAATCATGATATTTAATAATAATACAACCTAAACCTACAATTAATGTATACAGAATAACGACAGAAATAATTTTTTAAATTGTAATGTATCACTACTAATGTCCTCATATTATTTTTTAGTAATGAGAACAATGTTCGTTTTTATCATCTGTTTTAGTACTGTGTATAATGCTAGCATTAATAAACTAATAACCACTTCAAACTCTGAACTTTTTTTAAAATTAATTTTTTTCATGTAGTGTCTAACTAAAATTTTTATGATTATATCAAAATGTCATGTTACTTACTGGATTTTTTACAGGTGTTTTTAGTTTAGGGGTTTTTAAAGTTTTTTCGAATCTCTCTCTGCAAGCATCAATTCGTTCCGAAAGTTCAGTAAACATGGTTCTTGGTTTGATTTTACTTTCGTTATTACTTTGTCCTATTGATTTATCATGCTCCTTGCAATTCTGAAAAAATAAATTAATGAAGTCAATGCTATGGTTTTATAATAAATATAAAGTTTATATACAAGTTAACTTTAAAAAAAAAAATTAAAATAAACTTACTGGAATAATAAAACTCTTTTCTTGTACCTTAATATATCTTTCCATATCAACAGGTGGAAAGAGGGAAGGATCCATCATTTTCTCGGCTAAATTACTATATCTAACCCATTTTTCTGTTACCATAGGAATTTTACGTTCAATCGCTGTTTTATACGTTTCAAGAGAACCATCATGAAACAATACATGTGTTACCTTCAAAAAAAAAAATAGTTAACTTAAAAACTAGTGTTAAATTAAAAAATTTTAATAATTACTTTGTAATTAAATGTATTTTCAACTTTAGCTCCAAGTTTATTGAGGAGTTTAATAATATCCAAAACTAGTTGATCATTTTTAATTTTATAGTCCATAAATGCAACAACTCCTAAATTACAAAAAGTAATAACATAAAACATATTTATAAATATATAAAAATAATAAAACATTTAGATTCAATTTTATATAATTTGAATGTATAAATAAAAAAATGCTTAGTCCAGATTATTATATTTATAAAGTACGATCGGTTTTCAATTAAAAATTAATCGTCAGATATATACATAATCAATAATAAACATAGGGTTACATGTGATCGTATGTAATAGAGACAAGGGTTGGGCGTTTCATGTGATAAGAAAATTTCAATGAGGCTAAAAGGTAAATTTAACTAAGATGTAGTGGGACCTACTATGCTATAAGGTTAGGAGTGTTGGGCTTTTGACAGGAGAATAGAACATAGTATCAGTGTTGCAGAAATAAGTAACCGGTTGTACTTTACAAATACAATAAAATATAATTATATAATAAAATATATTTTTTGATTTATATATATATATATATATCTTTGATGGGTGGTCAAAAGGAGTTAAGTCATGTTTTGTTAAAAATCATGTTTTAACTTTATATTTGACAAAAAAAATCTCGATTTTTGGTATAAACAAGTTATGTCACCAATTAATCTGGTTATTGTGAATGTGATGTGTATTAAAGATATGTTCCAAATTTTAATTTCTATTAAGATCTTAAAGAGTTATGTCAATTTATATTGTTCTGATTTATAAATACAATACAATTTTAAGATATTATTGGATTAAATAAACTTAATCATTTCAATTTAAATATAATCAATTTAATTTTAAAATCAATTGACGTTAAGTCATTTAAAATAGATATTATAAGCTCCTTAATTAAAAAAGAAAATATTAATTTTGCACTATGTTAAACTATAATCTTATTATAAAATCTTTATCATACTATATTTTTATAGATTGAAATGTTTTGTATCCCATGACCATAATAATAGATTATAAACCATACATGCAAACAAGCACTTTTGATAATAGCTGATAGTGCTTTTAGATCTGTTATATTATTATAATTTTTTGTATTTTTTTTTTTGTATTTAATTACTATATTAAGTTTTATTTTGCCTTGAATCATATTATTATAATCTTGTATTAAGAAAAAAGGACGAAAAAGGAAAAAAATTTATATGGAATGATTTTCAGTGGTTAAAATATGATTCAAATTTTTGATGTATTACATATAAAAAATCAGTAATTGAAGAAGAGGATTTCGACTATTTATCACTACGTCGTCAAGGAAAGCAATTTAGAATGGAAAAACTTACTGTTGTTCGAGCATACAATAAACTACTTCCTATATCTAGTGAAAGTAAAAAAGATTTATTAGATCTTCTACTTCTTATCCCATCAATATACCACTCATTTTATAAAAATTTAAGGTGTACAGATCAAGCAGATATTGATCCAGATCTGATAGATAATACAGTATAATACTTATATTATGTTGCTAAAATTAAATGGTTTTTATTAAGAAGTTATTACTATTTTTTATAATACAGTAATAATTAATAATACTGTTTAAATAGCTGTTATTTTATGTAGTTAAATATGTTTACTAAGAAGTTAATACTATTTTTTTAATACAGTTATGTAGTATTATTAATTTTAATTAATATACAGCTATTATTTTTTGTAAAAAGTTGTTACTATTTTTTATAATACAGAAATAATACTGTTAAAATGTAAATAATTTAGTGTAATGCAAATTATAATAAAAATATTTGATGTTATTTAATTAATAATAATAAATTGTGATTTTTTTTTTTTATCTAAATGAAACATATTATTCTTTCCTCTTCTGAATCTCTAAAAAGGAATCCAAAATTAATGTCTTACTACTTTCACATACTTATTTTCATTAAAATTGCTATTTAAGAACGAACTTTACATTTCTTATTATTTCATTTTTTCTTTACATTGAAATAACGAGTAACTTAAGTCAAACATTTTTTTTTAAATATGATCATAAGGAGTCAAGTTTTGGTCAAAATAATATAAGTCAATTTTCTAAAAAGTGAGTTTGAGTGAAGTACACAAAAAGTATAAAAATCAAATTTTTTTCATAACTTTGAAAACAAAACTTAAAATTAAAAGTATATATTGGTTTGGTATGGGTATAACAAAGTTGATTGATGTAATGAATATCTGATTTAGGAAAAAATTTCAAACTTTTATTAAAGCCTACTGAAAAATCATAATTTATGATTTAACACCTTTTGACCGCGCACCAAAGATATATAATATTGATAATGTCGTACACATATTAGTTTAAACTATAATTGGTACAAAATAATTAGGTCAGACAACAATGTTGACTTGAATTAAATTACTTTAAATACTATATTCAACAAGCATTTTAATAAGAGTAAAAAAGTTTAATAATTATCCAATAGGTGGTACTTTTCTGTTGTTCTGACTACTGGCTGATGCCGTGACTATCGCTGGTCTAATTTCATTATCTAGACTATACGTATCAGTCAATCTCCATCATCAGCACTGTTAAACAATAATATTAGTCGTCTCTAACTGATGTTCAAATTTATTATTTTAGTTATATTTCAGTATTTATTATTGTGAATATATTTTTGGAATTTACTGAATAGTGAAAAAGATACCGTTGAATTATTTTAAGAGAAGAGTTTACTTCTCAGATATACTGTCAATGTGAAAATGGTTATAAAAAAAAAATTATACACCAGGGATAATGATGTTTGTAGATAATGATTTTATGTTTTATACATATTATGAAGACCCTCTTCTGTGATAATAAACGCTATAGTATAATATATATTGTATTAATTGTATAAATGATAAATTAATGTTGGTCGAGGAGGTAGTCGGGATAACAGAAAAGTACTATCCAATATATAAATATTATCTAAAAAGTTGTAGTTAAATAAAAATTTACCTTTTAAGATTTCAGAAGACTCTTTTTCATTTTTACTATAGTTTAAATTTGAAATGGATTCATCTAATCGTTGTACACCACTGACATTTAGACTTCCGGTAGATAAAGCCGATACATCACTTGCCTTTTTGGTGATACCCATTGAGACATTCATGTCTTTTGTGATCCTTTGTGGTAGTGGTTTTTTCAATGAATTACTTGATACAATATTCTTCTTCGGTTTTCTCTTGATTTTAGTAACCAATGTTTTTTGGTTCGATTCGGTTTTGGATGCCGAAGTATTACGCTCGACAGTTGGAATAACTGCACCGAATAAATCGGTGTATTGTTCGGACGACTGCGCGTCTTCGATCATTTTCATTTGAGAATCAAATGAGTCGAAGATATCAACATCGCATGGCTCCGACGACAAAATACACTTCTTGGGCGGGGATCGTTTTCTATCTTTACGAGGGTATGGGGTTCGATGTTCAGACATAGTAGCAGTAAGTAATTAACGAATTAACACGATATTCGAACAGACAAAAAAGAATTACAACTGTAAACGACGGTCGAAAATCAAATGAGTACCAGTACATTTAGCATTGATAAGAATATGGTTCGAAGCGCGTCTCGTTTTCGTAGCTATGGCGTAGTTGAAAATGTTAGGTTAGGTTATATCGCTCTACCGCGTGTTTCTCGAAATAAGAGACGGTATACTCGGTATCATGACCAGTCGCGCATTCAAAACAACTTCCCCCACCGCACCGCTTGCCATCGAGGCAGTTACCGGTTTTGTATACGGAACGCCTCATGCGTCAACAGAGACGACGTGCACGTGTTTATAAAACAACGAAACTCACTTCACCATGCTGCACATATATATATTTATTTATTTAAATACACATATATATTTTACGACTTCGCGGCGTTGCAAGACACACGTCGCGGAAGTAATACACCTCTATCGCCCTACCACGCTGTATAATTATTTTATATACTTATTATTCCAACTTAAAATGCCTCTTCTTTCTGTTAAAATACTATTTCTCTGGCACTTTGTAAATTTAAAATTCAAGCTCTTCAAAACTTTCCGTTAGGAGTATATATTATCTTCCGTGGGGAAATAAATATTGCAGCTTCCTCATCAGACATATTTCACGGAGTAACTAACGAACGCGTACAGATAACAATTAAATAAGCGCATATAGAGAAAAATCAAATGAGAGCGTACGCAGCAAAATCATACGAGCGCGTACACTGTTCAGAACAGTAATAAAAGGGCTAACCACTACAGCACAGTGTATGCAGTTCACATTTGGAACAGCGCTGTATAACTGTGAACAGATATTTGGGGAACCAATGAAAAATCGCCTGCTCGTTACGGACGCTAAACAGTCGGCCGTCTGGTCATGATCTTAAAAATCTTAAAGCCACGTCCAAACCAAAAAACATTTGTCGGTGACAAAATATTTCTTTAAATGTCACCGACAACATTTAAAAACAAGCGCGTCCACACCAAAGCAACATATTTGATAAAAATTTTCGTCTTGGACAAAATGTAGAACGAAAACGACTTGGCGATTGCCGTATCTGCTTGTGTAATTTTAGTTTAGAAGCAAAAAAGGCTTCTGAAAAAAGATATTGGGTTCGTCTTAATCTCTTAGCAAAGCAAAAATATAGTGGTGTGATGATACGGCGCGTAACCCACTATCACACGTTACCAACTATCACCCCGTGGTGTGTATTATATTATAGTCAAATTATTTTATACATGTTCCCTATCAATGTAAAGATTGTTAAACCTGTTGTGCGAGCTTCGACGGTTACGACGATCGCTCCGTCGAGCTTTGCTTACTCTCGCCACCGATCCGTCGACCGAATCTGATGTCCGTAATTTTTTATGTACCGCCGTCTATTACGCCATTTTGTTCCGTTTTTGTATATCTATTTTATATACCCGTTCCTTCGAACGAATTGTTTATTATTATATTACTCCGTCGAGTTTTTTTGTTTATTATACGTATTTAACATTTTTATAAATAACACCGCCTTCGTGTACTTTTATTTCAATTACCCTTTTGATAGTCATTTGTGGTGAGTGGTTCACACCAACCACACATGCCGACACCTCACAGTGGTTATGATTTAATGACTGATCTTAAACGTGATGAAATTGGTCTACCTGGAGAATTGAGGTATAAGTAATGAATACAAAAATAAAATAAAATAAAAATATGCATTACGTGTAGGCGGACGAGGCAAAACTGAACAAAAACCAAATAAATAAATAAAATATGATGAATTTACTGAATGTTGATCGACAGAATTTGACCGGTCTGGACGTGCCAATTCATTGTCAGCGACAATGTTTATAAACTTTGTCGAATTTTCCCATGTCGGATGGAAAACAAAAATTTGTCGATAACAATGTCGCCGATACAATTGTTGTACCATAATAATAATAACAAAAAATTATTAATAACAAATTATATAGAGAATAAAGATAATGAAATAACTGTCGTGGACCGGTGGGAGGCACGACGCACAATTTAATAATAATAAAAAGGAATAATAAACACAACGCGGTTGACGAGTTGGTAAGTACGAGTGGGCCGTATATTAACGGGCGTGAGCACTTAAAAATAATAATTATAATATTGATCAACACGATCGTGCGCAATGTGGCGAACACCGAATAACAAAAAATTATAATAATAAAACAAAAGAAATCACGTTACGGTCTGTAGTCGCAAAAAGATGAAGTTAATTCGTAAAGACGCAAAGTGGCGATGTGACCAGGCGAAGAGTTGACGAACATCGGCTCATCGTTCCGCCGACACTTGCCTTCGGCGGTGCCGATGCCCCGCTCTCCCCGCTCCTTAAGGAAGGTGCGGGGTGCGACGCGTCGGTATCGTGATCCGCGAACTATCGGCTGATTAGGAGACTATAAATACGGTCGGCGGCGCGCCGCTATGGTGAACGGTCGTCGCCGGGTCCGCGTCATAACAAAAAGCAGTTTCGATGCAGAATATAATAATGTTGATTTATGAAATAAATAGTTAAACAAAAAAGTGAGATCCGTATTGGCATTAGACATCATCAGGATTGCCAACTATTCAGTTTAGAAAATCGGGCCTTTTTTTCCAACATAAGAAAATTTTCTTCCGGTTTTAATATATTAAAGGCAATCATATCTGGCATAACATATTATAAGATATAAGTATACAACACAGATATTTTTTTACTGTATGGTGTATGTATATAATAAACTTTATTAATATAAATTGTATTATGAACATAATGATTAATAAAATAATAATAATAATGATAATTATAAAATATTTTAGACGAAATGTTTAATTAAAAAAAGTAATATTAATTATAAACTGTACATTATTTATTTATCTAATTTTATTTTTTCTGGCTCTTCACGGTGTTCAAAAAAGCAGTATCTTCTTTTACCAAGTTCACAAAATCAATACAGGAACTATTTTTAGAAGGCAATATATTTAATGATATCATTAATTCACTTTTTATCAGGTCCACTGATCAACGATTTCTAAAATTTGTCTATTGGTATACTTAGAATAAATTCTAATAACATTCCAAAATTTTTTAATTTCTGAATTGATTAAAGTTCTAACCATTTTTCGTATTGTTATTCGTATTTATGGTGCTGCACATCTGATTTATCACCATGAGATATTAAAAAGTCTTTCTTACATACCTTACAATTACCATACAAATTGTTAATTTCTGATTTTTGAAACCTTTGAAAAATGTTTGAAAATGTTTGTTATTATTATTAACCTGAACAAAATCGCTATTGCACTGTATAATGATATGCAGTCTTATACTTTCAAATAGAAATGATCGTCATTGGTCGGAAACTTCCTTACCGAATTCATTAACATATGTCGTTTCGAACTAATATATTTGATTTCGACGTTTTTACTCTCGGCATATTGAACTTATAAATCACATGAAAAAACACCACCCGACGAAACAACGAATACCAAGACTACGACGATGGGCGTACTAATTGGTTACGAATTCAGTAATACTTGTCGAAGCCTAGCTATGATGAAATTGTTATCAACGATAACTTGTCCCTGTGTATGGTGTAATAAAAATAATAATTCATAATAGGTACATAATGGTGATAATTTTCGGGGAAAAGCCAAGGTATGATAAAATATATGGTACTATATATAATTTATTATTCGTACCATCGGCAATTTGCCGAAGTCTCTTGCAAATCACAATTTTCGTTCATTTTAAGGTACGGTTTCCAAGACGCGACAACTTGTCGCGACGTTTTTTGGATAGAGTAGTTTCCAAGACGCGAAAAGTCGCAGTGACACAACTGATATTCGGGGGGGTCGGAGCCAGTACAGTTTTAATACACAAAAACATGTCTTACAGGAAAAACTCTCACGCCCTATAGAATTGTCGAATTTTGTTAATTTTTTTATTATTCAAAAGAAGAAAACAGGTCGGATTCGCAGGTCGGATCAAAACGAAATTTTTAAAATTATAATTAAGGAATCTAAAATATGCATTCCAATAATGCACAATATTTGCTTTTTTTCAAATGTAATTTTCTAGCACTGTTCAAAGTAAAATGAAAATTCGGGCTTTGATCCGACCTGCAAAATGTTCTCATTTTTCAGAAAAAAATTTTTTTTATCAAAATGCGACAAATAATTGTGACGTGAGAGTTTTTCCCGTAAAAGCATTTTTGTTCATCCTAAACAGTGCTTCGAAAAATAGTGACCAAAGTCAATCACTGACTTGTGCGTGCGCGTACGTAAATATCCTTATCTGTGCATTTGTCAACGCACACAACCAGTATAAATTGCGTATCGCAGTTCCCGGATAAAATTAAAAATAATTTGCTGTTGACGATACCGTGTTGTATATTATATTCGGAATAAAGGCGCGTTTACACGGTGACAGTACAGTCATGACAGCACTGTCGTATAGTAATGCGACAGCTACTGTCACATGAAGATGAGCGTTTACACGGTGACAATAATTGTCATAACAAATATTGTGTTTCGTGCGATAGCTAATTAAAATTGACTAACAGTGTCACTAGTTTATTTTATTATTCACTTTATTATAATTTATAATTAACTGATTCACTTATTGTTTTAATTTTGCCTATTCTTAAAGTCAGGTATACATTTATCCCATAAACAAGGATGTTCTTCGTAATATTTTAGAAATTGAATAGTATCAAAAACCATTTTGAATTATAATTTCATTTATATAATTTTCAATTAATTATTATAATTAGATATATATTATTATTTAAACATTTAAATTAATTGAATAAAAACTGTAGGTATATGTAATAATAAGTAATAATTGATAACAACAATACAAAAATCGTACTACGGTAGTAGTTGACAGTGTGGTAGTCACTGTTTACGCGATAGAAGTGGCTGTCACACTGTCAGCTAGTTACTGTCTACTATCTAGCAGAGCTAGATAGTTCGACAGCTGGCAGTTGACAGTGTGGCAGCAACTGTCATTATGTTTACACGACGACAGTCTTACGACAGCGACTATCATGACGGCGACTGTCGAGTGCTACTGTCATCGTGTAAACGCGCCTTAAGAACAAGCTTCGGCGGCTGTTGTATTTTTCCGTACGACTATATCAGACCCCAGTACCATCAGTCGTTACTCGCGCACCATATCACATACGTTGGTCAGTCCGCGCTCTTGAAAACCAATTTCTTTTGTTCGATTGTTATTCCCTATATTATTTTGTTTTACCCGAAGTAATAAATACGTAAAACAAATTCCTATAATTTAATTATTTACACTTTATTATAATAATAAAAAAAATAGTAACCGTTTATCAGTTCCAAATTATAACAGCCGTCCATTATACATTTGTATATATTATTATTATTGTAAAAATGTATCTAAATAAAATATAAACTAGTGTATGATAATAATTCACGACTAATAATTACAATAATAATAGTTTAAAAAATTTCCATTTATTTTAAAATTGTAGGATTTACAATTTCTTGTAATAAATAACAATTATAAAACTCGACCAATTGTGTTTCCATTTTATCCTTCCAGAAGTCGTCATCACGCATTAATATTTCTACAAACAAAAACCATATTTAAACTATGAATTAAAAAAAAAGAGCATTTGGTTATAATATATTATTGTATATTATTACCTTTTGGAGTACAAACTACAAAATAACACGAGCATTTATTGGCTACTCTTAATTGCCCCTGAACCTGGTAATAATAATTATGGTTTTTGTCCAATTGCAGATCACCATTATTTTTTATTTTTAAAAATTTGATTTTTTTAGCCACAACTCCTTGTTGTGGTGTCATATCTTTACTAATATGTGGGCATTTTATTTCAATAATTTTATTATAATAATAATAATAATAATAATAAACACAATTCATAACAGTAATTCTATGAAACGATAACGCATGGACTAATAAAACGTATAATATACATAAATATACACATCGGATAATGTGCAGTCATTGTAGTTATCTAATTTTATCTTATTATAGCTCACGCACACTAATATCGATTTACATACTCACATTCATGCACGGTTGGTGCGCCGCCGATACAACATGTGAATTTAATTGCTTAAATTTTACTCCTTAATAAATGACCAGGTTAACCGACATACGTTTTTAAACCTGTTCAAGTGCGCACGTATTTTTCATATAATATAATATCATATCACAACGAATAGATATATTTTAAATAATAATAATATTCTTCTTACGCTATTATTATTATTAGAAGAAGAAAAACAACAAAAACAACAAATTTTAGTTACCTTATCGTGAAACATTAGAAAATCTATAAATTAATTATTTATACATCGAGACAGAGAATGATTGATGATGACCAAATGTCATATTTTTATAATTTGAATCTCCAAATCTCCAATATAGTATAGAAGTGTATTCTGAACTTCACGAATTAGAATTTCGTCTTCCGACACCGAGAAAATCAATGTTGACGCCATTGTAACTACAAACGTTTCAATAGTCATTGGATGTGTCGCGCCTTGGAAACTGTACATTTAAGAAGAAATTGTGAAAAATGCTCTTAAAACCAAGAAATGTAATAAAAACGTCAAAAAATGTCCTAAAAATACATTTAAGGTTAATTTTGTCAAGAAATGCAAACAAATGCGAAATAAAAATACTTTCAAATAATCAGTATCACGCAAAACAGTGGCGTATCCAGAATTTTTTTTGGAGGGGAGTTATAAAAAATGTAACTAAATTTTTTTTGAATTTTGTGTGTTTTTATTATAATCAATAGACAATATACATATACTAAACATTTTCGAGGGGGGGGGTATAACCCCCTAACCTCCCCTGGATACGCTACTGACATTTAATACTTACGGACCAACGTTTCAGAACATCCAAAAAAGAGATGACTTTGCATCAAAATCCCAACCATAATCATAATTATCATTATTATATTATCAATAATATTTATTCTACAGTAATATTTATACACGTAGGGATGTAATACATTATTATATAATTTCATATTTAGAAATATATATTGTACTATTTGATAGATGCTCAACTTTGATATTTCAATATAAACGAATAATGAATGCTTATCTATCCAAAAAAAAAAACATCTAGTTTTTCTTATTATCGTTCATTTTTAGGACGCCCCTTAAATTTATAATACTTTATACGCCCTTGGGCACTTACCCCATTTGCCCCTCCCCATTGGGACGGCTATGAGTCCACCTTTTGCGTAGGCATATAATAATATTCAACATCATACTGTTCTTTTTATTTAAAATATTAACTATTATCAAACTTGAATGTTTCGTGTTTATTTTTACTCTAATGGGTGAGTACTCTAGGGCGGGTTTAAGGGGGTGGCTAAGGGGGCATCAGTCCCCCCTTGGGACTAAGCTATCTATTTACAAAGTAAATTTTTATTATGTGTTGATAATTATAATAAAATATCGTCAATGGTCATTGATGAATATGGTACTTATTTTGTATATTTTTTTATAAATAAATAGCTCACTTTTGTTGTTAATTATATGTATTTACCTATATTTTAAAATGGTTTCAGATTAAAATTAATACCAATAATATAACTATTTAAACTTTGTCATTATTGTGAAAAAAATGAATTACTTATGAGGGACTCAAAAACATATTCTGTAATTTAAAATTTTATATAGATTTAAAGAACCAACTAACTAAATTCTTAAACCTCCATTAGCCCCTCCCATGGTTAGTGATAAAAGCCGCCCCTGTGAGTACTGAGTATGAAACAATAGTCTCATATTAAGATTATGTAAACAATAGGTTCCAACCAAAGGAGCACTCCAAAGGAGCAATAAATGTTGTCTAGTTAGTTCATTGGAGACTAGAGAAGTCATTTTTTGAATAGTTGCGGAAAAGAAAAATTGCAAAAAAAACAGCAATATTTAATGACTGCCGACTTTGATTTTTATTTTTTAATGTAATTCAAAAAGTAATAATCATAAGTAACTTGAAATGTTCACTAAATATTCATATGGATTTTCTTTAGAGGTGTTTTAAATTTTTAACGATTTTGGATTTTATCGCGGAAATAGATTTCATAAAAATAAAATTTTCTAACACATAACATTTTTTTGTGCTGCTCCGGTAAACTTTCGCTGGAAAGAGTAACTTCTCTAGTATATTATTACATTAAATTTTTAAATTTTACATAAGTATACATATTGGAATGTTTATCAACTTTTAACTACCAAAAATCGGCAGATTTCGTGATTTTTATCAACATTTCAAATTCAAATGCTTATTTTTAAAAATTGTGACTGTAGATTTTTGAGATTTTTTCACATGAGTAAAAACAATGTGTGGAAAACATTGTATCAAATTTTCAAAATTTTATGGCCAACCAAAATTTTTTATTGACGTTATACGAAAAAAAAATAGGACAACGGAGAAACGATCGCGGTGAAACGGTCGCGTCGAAATGTCTGAATCCGATATTATGAATTACCCACCGTTATGCCGGGTTTACATGCTGCGTAAGTACTTGTCATTAGTACTTGTCACTCGCACTTGCACGTTGCGTGTAAACAGAAAAAATAGTGTTTAGTATTAGTAAAACCGGGAGTGCGAGTGAATAAGAACGCTGTTCTATTTACTAACGATAAGTAGCTACCCCTCCCACGACTCTACTCGCGGTTGCAACTCGCAACGTGTGACCGTCCGATATAAGTGTTTAGTGACAAGTATCGGTAGCAGCACATGCGTATTTCGTTGGTTTTTTAATTTATTTATTTGCGTTTGTGCTGATTTTTTTATACTTATAAAAAGTTTAAAATTACTGAAAAATGGAGTTCAGAAACGACAATTAATTACCAAGGGTATCCCGTCTCAAAAACCATTTTCTAGTTCATAATAGTTTTTTTTTTCCGATTCGTTTTCAAGTTTTTGTATCAATGATGATATTATAACGTTGGCATAATGTTTAAACATTGTCTTTAAAAAAAGGCAAAGGTCCATCGTGACATTTGGTTCGCTACTACTTACTTGCTACTTACTAGGTATTCACGTGTGAACAATAATAGATAAGAATAGTACGAGTGGTTAGTGCGAGTGACAAGTACTACGCATCGTGTAAACCCGGCATTACCATTGTTTTTTGTATTTTTAGATCTTTTCTGAAAAAATACTGTTATTTCACTTGTTCGCTTCATCTTAACCACGTATTCACAAATCACAATTATATAAATTATAACTCGACTGTGACCGATCTCATCGGTTGTTGGTGGTAACCTAATGATTCTTGAAATAAATTAGATTATAAATCATTGTACAATCGCGATAATGCATTTGCTATTCTATTTTGGGTGTTGCGGTTAAATACTAAATCGTTTCCGTTAAATGTTAATTGTCTTCATGTTATCTTATTTTTATATACGTACTTCATATAAAATATATTAACTGCTACGTACATGGTACATGCAAATAAAACTTAGTTTACTGTATGCGTATCTTAAAATCATGTTTATTAAATATATTTGAGTTTTGTTTCTATATTCAACATAAAAATCAATATAGAAGACGGCCCATATATATTAGTCACCGGAACGTAAATCCTAGGAAAATGTCCATAGAGGTCATGCCTTCACGGAATTTTTCTCGTGGGGGGAGTTGCCCCCATGTGTTTGCCTCTATACTCCAATCGTTTATTATTAATCGTTGTGGTTGTATCGATAATGTGCATAGTTGTATATGTGCGCTGCAGCGGAACACGTGAAATGTTTTTGTTTTCGTTTATTTCTCGAATGACCCGTGCTCCCGTGAGCCGGTGTAATTTTTTATCAACGGTCCGTTCCGAGATTTAATCTATTCCGTGCTTGCAGCGACGGCCGTTATTGGTGAAGTACTAAAGCGTCGGTGTAATGTCGCGGAACCGGGTAAGGGTGCTGGTGGGGAATGTTGTCGACGCTTGACCCGCACGTACGAGTGTGCGCGGGATAACCGCGCGCGGTCACGTGCGCGATTTATTACGGTACCGCTGTAACCTCACAATCGCAAACGGTTTCGCTCGCGTCGTCGACCCTCCGGACCGCACAGTCGTGCTCGCCACGCCGAACCCTTCGTCACGTCCTCGTTTGCGGTCCGTCGTTCGTACGCGTTCCACCCGCCAATCGGACACCAGTGCCAGCGAGATGTCCGTCCACGACCGGTACCGCCGCGTCTACATCGACGACGAACTGTCCGCGTACGAACGGGCCAGATTGAAAAACATCAAGGACATATACGAACAGGTGAGCGGTGGCAGGTTCGCCCTTTCGAATCCCGCGTGCTCCGCGGAACGTCTGTTAAATTATAATAGTAATAATAATATTAATAATAATAATAATAATAATAATAATACTCGTATCTAAACGTTTTCCCGTTGTCGGTACTGCTGCGTCGGCGAATCAGTTGGTCCGCGGGATAACGCTGAAACGCGAGTCGGGTGTACCCGCGCGGCTTCCAAGGGACCTCTACGACCGATTTCTCAAATCGAAATTTGTTCCGTTTTTTATTTACAATTTTTTTTCTCGCCCTATCGTATTTTTTTAATTTACGTTGCTGGTTTCCAATTAAATATATTGCAGACATAGATATATTTATCGAGCACTTTTTTTCTATCGACTCCTCCGGTTGGTATTTGCATACATGGATTCAGATCACCCGTCCTTGAAAACAAAATACGTCTCTAATATAATGTTTCTTTTTATTAGTTTTTTTTTCAATCCATAATGATTTAGGAAACTAAAAATAATTCGACTATTTCAATATTATTAAGTGTGCGCTACCCTACATGTATTGTACTTTGACCTATCATTTATTGCGTTTAGTACATCTATTAATTTGGGCACAATATGATAATGTATTTTCAACTAAGGTTTTTTTTAGTCAGATGTCCATGACCGGTGTACTAGAGCACTTGTCTTATGTTCTACCAAAAGTAAGTTTTTCTGAATAGGTCATACAACAATTAATTGTTATGGGTATTGAGCTATATTGTTTTAATGCTTACCTATTACGTTGAAAGTTAAATAAAAATATGTAAACCTAAAATAGTTCACATTCATTTTATTATTGGCAGCCTAATGTTTCATATACTTACATATTTAAAAAAATTTATTTGTTTAAAATATTCATATACGTCTCTAATTAAGAAGAAAAAGTTGAGTTAATAAATTGCAAATAAAATTTAATAATAACATTACATGAAAATTACATGTAATTTTCTACCATCGCTTATGACTTAATTTTTTGTTTAATTTATTTATTATTTGTTCATTTAAATAAGCTTATATAAACTTTATAAAATCAATTTATAGTTTAAAATACCTAATATTTGTTAATTAATTAATTATTATTTAGTTGAATATTTTGCCTTTACATGTACGTAAACTTTAAATTAAGTTTATGTTATAAATAATACAGGCAACTTTCGATATAACGAATTTCAAAGAACCAAGTTCAGTATATCAAAAGTTAAATACATCAAAATGTTGTTATATCAAGAGCAGGGACGTCATTTCAACTTTTGAAAGGGTGGGGCAACTGTTTAAATTTGCTGACTTCATAATATTTAAAAAATTATGGTTACTTATATATTTAAATATTTAATATTTATGGACCATAGACTATCAATAAAATATTTTTTCGGAATAAAATATGTAAGGATTATTAATGAATATGATGTCATGAAGATAAACAAAGAACATGAAACGTTTCAATTTACCCAATTAAATAATAACATTAAAGATAGTAAAACATTAATTAGTTTGCTTATCCTATAGGCTGTAAGTTACCTATCAATAGGTTTATTGGAATAATAATATTAATCTAATTAAATAATTACTTAAAATTTTATTATTTGTATGTTTAATACTATTCAGAACTTATTTATAAAAACAAAAAAAATTGTATCTCAAATATAATGTACCGTGGTTTGAGGTGAGTAGGAACGATTTTAACGGTTTTTTATAGATTATGACTCAATTTTTATGGTATGAATATCACGAAAACGGTTTTATATAGATAACATATACAGAAATATATAATATACGAAAAATAAAATTATAAGGTTCGCGTAATAGCGATTATCATAAACCAGGGTGAAGCCAGTGTTTCCCAACTTTTAATAAACCGTGAACGTGTATTGAAAAGAGAATATAATCTGATTTCTGAGTACAAAATAGTAAATAAAAATTTACTATTTACCGATTTCAGCATTTGATCATCGGACAAAGAATTGCCGACTTTTTAACATTTTATAGAGTGAGGCATTTGCCGTAGTCTGCTCGCCCCCCCTCCAATGACGCCCCCGATGAAGAGTATAAACCAACAAAATTTATTGAAAGTTATTTAAATGAAAATTCAAATTTAAATTAACATGCTTTGTTGTAATGTTTACGACAAAGGCGTACAAATACGTATTCATGATCATTAAATAATATGTTGTTGCACAATTACTTACACATCGTCACCTCAGTTCAAGACTGCAAAAACTATTATTGAGTTATTTACTTGATATATTTTGCAAAATTACGACGATTTCGATTCTATAATGCAATAACTTTTAGTTGCATTATTTATCTCTAGGGGTCGTTTATTTCATTCTAGAACCAGTAGTTTCATAATTTGAGTTATTGCACTCTTGAACTGAGACGTCGATATATGCATACATAGTTGTATTTATAGTTAGTAAAATTGAATACAGACAAACAATTTGAGTCATTAATTACATATATATATGTATATTTACTTTTTTAAAAATCAGTAAATTCTTTGTGTATAGCCTCTTGTCTACTCAGTCTAACTACCCGGTCGATAGCATTGTACAAATTTAAAATATTACATAAAACACTATCATCGATATCATGATGATAATTTAAGACAGCGCAGAGACCTGATTTTGCTTCCTTCGGAGGTTACAATTACGTAACACGAATTATGTTACTAGTTATTTATATTTATCGATATGAATTTTATCTTATCGCATGATAATCGCCAAAAAAAAACTTAGTAATAGTAGGATATTTACTTTAGTTAATAGTTTTTCGTAATCACTAACACACGCAGTAGCGTAGATACAATTCTTTTCTGGGGGGGGGGGGGTGTTTAAGAGTAAGTTTTTAAGTGTTCGTAGTATATCTTAAAACGAGATCATATATAATATTACATTTAAAATAGTGTTATTATGTCCCGTATTAATGAAAATTATTTTGTTATTCAATTTTTAATATATACCTAATCATAGTAAAATCAAAATATTTTACTATAATATATAAATATTAATAAATAATAATCAAATATCATTAAAAAAAAATCTGTGGGGGGGTGGAAACCCCTTACACCCTCCTCGTAACTACGCCACTGAACACACGTGTATCATATATTAACGAAAATTAAAAATTCGTAATATTAAGATCTAAAATTGTAAACATTTATGACATTGTGAGAGCTTTGATCAAAAAACTTTGGGACAAAACTACATTCAATTTTTCATTATATCACAAGATTTTCCAGAGAACGATAATTTCATTCGCTGTATCTAGATTTTCGTTTCATAGAGCTTCATTATATCGGTAGTTGACTGTAAGTATGTGCAGTTTTGACAAACTAGAGTTAAAAGCTTGAAAAATATATTTTGAAAATGTATGTATTTTTTTATCATAACTTATTAATAGTTAATTTAATAATTTAATCTGTGTATCATGTCCTCAATTATTACTACTATTATACAGTGTGATCACTATTCAAGGCAACACTAAATATCTCAGGTGGATGTTCTTATATTGAAGTGAATATTTTAGAGGACCTAGGGGTACTTAAATACATATACTTAAATACACATTTATTCAAGATTCTCAAATTTTTAACACTTACGGTGTGCGCATGCATAATACAACTTACATTTTTTTAAATGGGAACACTACTTTTTTTTTACATATTCGGATAGATTTTTTTTTTAAACATTTTTTGTCTTATAAATTTTTTTTCTATTTACAAAATTGAACAAGTTAGATTAAGTCAAAATTTGAATTTAGGCATAATTCGTATACTAATAGAATAATCGTGAACTAAAAATTATATTTGTAATTATTTCACACTTATTTTGTTATTTACAAGGGTTATAAATAGAAATTCCATTATTAATTATTTGTAAACAAATAAAGTAAATTAAACATTTATCAGGCATTTTTTTTTATTATTATTTACAGTGGTTATAAATGAATATTCCATTAAACAAGATTAGGCAACTTATATTTTAAAAATAAAACTAAATGTGTTAATTTGTGTTAAGAACTACTGAAAGTTTAAAAAAATGTATAATTTTATATACATTATTTGTTTAATTATATAATTGATTTGTTGAGTATTGAATCTTAATATTATTTAATTATTTAACAGTTTGGTGAGTTATTTGAAAATGTTCAGAAGTCTGCTGAAGTGTTGCAAACAGCAACAAAAAGTACTTCGGCACCAGTAAAATCTGAAGTGAAGACCAACGGTAGAGTTCATAACCGAAATTGGCAACGATTCAAATTAGGCTCTAAACCAAAATTACTATTAAATGATAGTGTTCGCCAATCATCTAGACTGGGTTGTAAAAGGTATTTTATATTTTAGAAAATAATTTTTTGAAATTTTAATTGCCATAATCGTATTTAAAATGTTCACTGTTATTATGAACTCCTGAGTATTTATAATTAACGTTATTCGAAAACGGAGCATTACGATTATGTTTTGTCATCGCGTCGCGACAGTAAGAAATGCTTACATAGAATTTTACGGGATTCCACGCACGTATCATAGCAAACATAGAGATCAATTAATCGTATTTCAACAGCTAATGTGTGAGATTGTCATTCATCATATAACTATTATTCTTTTTAATCTTTTAACTTTTTTTCGTGTGTTATTCATTTTTTGATTTTTTGTGATTTTATTCATAACACTACTTTACAGAATTACAATATAACTCATCACAATAGTTTATTAATATATTAATTAAATTGCTTAAAAGAAAAAACATGATATATTCAATTTAATTTGGCAGATTCAATATTAATATACAATAAATATTTATTATATATTATTATTTACTATTATTTATTTAATTAAATTTCAATATACATTAAGCAATTAAACCTAAAAAATGTAGGTTGATTACAATCGGTAATAATTTTTTTTTTTATTTACTTAAACTAACTAACTGTATTTTATAATTTATTAGTTATGAACAATGTAAACACTTTCAAAATTGTCAAGTTAAAAATTTGAAAGTTACCTAAATTATGTTCTAAAAAATCAAGTTTTGTGAAATTTAATAGGTAATTATTTTTTATTTTGTTATTGTAGAAAACCAATAAAATATAATGACTTAAGTGATAATGATGATGAACCAAAAAAAAAGAAAAGAACTGTATGTATTAATCATTATGATATATAGTTATTAGTGATATTAAATTGTATGCTTAATTATAATTAAATATGTATGCAGTCTTCAAAAAAAATTTGTAAAGGAAGAAAAATATTGTTAGTATCAGACGTGACACAAGAAATGCTTAATAATATTGCATATAAAACATCAGGAAAAATTCTAAGCGATAATGGTACTACGTGTCATCAGTGCAGGTATTATTTATTTTAATATTAATCAAAATACAATTTGTATAATATTTGAAGAAAATTTATAATTATTGTTTAATTTAACTAAATTACTTATAATTTAAACAATATACAATGTAGAATCTCAATGGAGTCTGAAAAGTATTATCCAATTGTTAATTTATGTTATTAAATTAATTCATAGTGTGATTTTTCTTTTTTCCAAACATAAAAAATTCCGTTTTTAATTCTCTATAAACTTTTATTATAATTATTTTTTATTTCATATATGTAATACATTTATAAATATATTGTTATTATTTTGTTGCAAACTTTCTTTTTTTCAAATTTCTGAAAAACTTTTAAATTATTACTTAAACATTTTTGTAACTTACCTTAATTTTTTACTTTCTAATAAGCATTAATCTTACTGTTACTATTACTGCTATAATTTTTTAGTATAAAATTGAACTAAAGTTTTACTTATTCAACCTTTAGGCAGAAAACTTTGGATCAAAAATCATGCTGTAGAAACAAGTTATGTGTTGGTGTTCGTGGAATGTTTTGCGGGTTCTGTCTAGGAAATCGTTATGGTGAAGATGTTGCTGATGTTTTACAAAATCCAGTAATTTTTAAATTATAATTATGTTTGATATATATATTGTTAATTTTAAATTAAATTTATTATTTGTTTTAAAGAATTGGACTTGTCCTGTTTGTCGCAATGACTGTAATTGTAGTATATGCAGACGTAAACGAGGTCAAGGACCAACTGGACCAATGGTGCAACTAGCTACTGCTTATGGATACAAGTCTGTTAAGCATTATTTATATGAGAAGGAAAATAAGTTTAGTGAAAACCTTGTATCTGAGAATGTTAACTTAAATGACTTTAATCCAGTTGAGCAAGGGTTTACTGATGACATTAAATCAGGAAATCAAATTCCCTATGAACAGTTAGACAAACTTATAAACAATGATTTTGTCGAGGTAAAAATAAAACAAGACTCTCCTGAAATGATTCTTAACAGATTGTATCAGGAGCTTTATTCAAAAGAGGACGATTTTGAAGAATTTGAACTTCATTAAAACATTGTTATTTTTACAAAAAAAAAAAAAAAAACTATTAAAATACTAGAGTCATAAAACTATATGAAAATAAGATTATATTCCTTGCATATTAATTATATAACAATTTAAATGGAAAAATTTATTTCTTGTTATTTATCTTTTTATGTATTGGTATGTATTGTATGCTTGGTTATTGTTTTTTTTTGATACTTGATGATTTTTAGTCCATTTAAGTTCCATGGTTTATATAAAAAATATTTTATTATATTTGATTTTTTTCTCTTTTTTAATATACTTATTTAATTTTGTTATCATATTATATACATTCATATTTCTGGAAACTCAAAGATTGAGTTACATGATTTGTATTAACCTATTTTTATTAAATATGTTTTCTTTATGACTTGCACAATTCAAGATTTTGTTTTAATTATTATGGAGAAACTCAAGGAAAGAATTTCTTTATATTATAATGTACATTCAATTTTCTGAGTTATCTATGTTTGAGTTCGGTGATTTTTTATTAATGGTACCATTTTTTATTTTTTTTTTTGTCCTATATTTTATACTCAAGTTTATATTTTGTATAATTACTTAAAAACTAAAATAAAATAATTTGATTATTTGCAAGTTATTTGCACTTTTTCATTCATTTTTTTTCTTTAAACACTATTATTTTGTTATGTGATTTTTAAAAATTACGACTATTTTATTTTATATATAACTTTTCTTTTAATATTATATATATGAGTTTTGATTTGGTCTTTACCTTCACATTTTTTGAAGCATTAGTATAAAAAAAATATTGTTACATTTTGTATTAAGAATATTTGTCTGTTGTGCGACCATTTGATAATATTATTTTATTTTTTATATTTAAAAACTAAATTTAAAAAGATAACTTTATAATTTTTCAAAATAATTACTAATAAATAGTGATTTGAAATTAATTGTAATATTGAAAACTATATATATCAATGTTCAGAAGAAGAAAAAGCTGTGTTTTTTTAAATTTTTAAATTTATTAATGTATTCCTTTTGTTTTCTGTACGATCTCGACTAGTTGGAATACTCCGATCATCACCAAATAAAAGGTAAAATGTAGTTTATAGGTTTTAGTTGATACGTTTAAGAAGTAATTTTTTAATTTATCAGCAGAATAATTGAGGAAAATGGAATAATACTTCAACTCTCGCCACTAATAACTGCATATTATTTTATTGTACATTATTTTCTTCGAGACAACATGATTTTGACTAAAAAAATTGTTATGATCCTCACAATCATGCGAGATTTCTAATACCAAATGTTGTCTAGTTAGGTACTTAGAAAAAAAGTAATTTTATAAATATCCTAACAGTTTTCTAAATAATTGCTAAAAAGGTATAAGAATATGACAACATTTATGGTATATCGTTTTCCGACAAAATCAAATTTTAGTTTTCATCTTTTCTAAAAATTAATTATTATAGAGACATGAAATGTACAAACGGTTTCAAATTTAAAAGACTAATACAAAAATCACCAATTTCACACAACCTAGAAATTTAGCCATTTTTTGTACTGTTACTGTTTTCAATTTCTTAATAACTATGTACAATTTTTAATATTTTATTAATAAGATTATATTCAGGAGTAGCAACATATTTTTTTTAAATGATTTTTCATTGAAAATTAAAATTGCTACATGGTTCTATAAAAATTAATTTTGTTTGCTTATTTAAATTTATTAAATATAACAATTTTACTTGTTACATTTATAGAAGGTATAGTTTAACTTTAATTTTCATGTTTTATAGAAATATGCATATGTTAAACAGTCAAAATGAATATGTTAATATTTTATGTAGTACCAAGTTGTATAGTTTACAATTTACCTATTTTGAAGTACGTTATTCGGGACGCTGATTATGAGTAAAAAACCTAAAACGTGTTGGTACTGTTTTTGGAGGGCTGCTATGCAATATTCTTTTTTTTTCCAAAGAATTAGATATGCAGTCAGTCTGTTTATTTGGCGAATGGTTAAGTGACGTTCACGAAAACCGAATTGGGTTTGTGGTATAACTGATACGTCATTTAAAAAAAAAGAAATCCGTTTAATACTAACTTTTCACAAAGCTTATCGAAAAGTGGTAGAAGATTTATGGGTCGATATAATAACGGATTATCGAGGGTTTTACCTTATTTTAGAATTAAGGTGATAACTGAGATTTTCTATTGAAGGGGAAAATGGGAGAGTCTTATGATAGTGTTTAATATGTGCGAAAATTGCTATAATTATAACTTTAGAGCTACTTCTGCCGTAATTAAGTCCAGACCGGGAGATTTTTTTGAGGCGAAATAGGCTTAGGTGCACGATAAAGTGGTAGTAAGGGAGTTCACAATATAATCTTCAAATATGATAATATTGATGTCGTGATGAGTTTTTTGTAACAATAAATAAAAACATTTGATTATGATTTTTTATGTTTCTAATGTAACATAAGAAAAAAAATAACAATAAGTAACTGCAGAACTGCTAAGAAAATATTTCAAAAAGTTTACGATATTTTGCAATTTAAAATTCTTCAAAGAGTTTTTTATGGACGTCTTCAGTGCGACATGCAACGGCTTTTTCAAATACTTTCTTATTTAAAACACTGTCATTATCCGGTACGAACGGAGCTTCTAATTTCTTGTTCAATATCAACGTCCAATCTATGGTTTTAAACCAACTAAAAATAATTGAAGAGTAATCTTACAAACAATTTTATATATATTAGTATTAGTATTTACTTCTCACATATAAATGATTATAAGTAAGCAATGCTCGACTTGGCAAAGTGAAGAGGGACTCTGTTTACTTTTAAAAAAAGATCGTCCTCAAAGTTCGTTAAGCAGAGGCGTACCCAAGAGGGGAGATTTCGAATACGGACCCCCCCCCCCCCCCATTGATATTTCAACGTTTACATTTTTTACGTGATTCAAATTAAATTTAATAAAACATAAAATAAAATAGTATTAATATTATAAACGTATTTTGAAATCTAAACCATTTGTTATTTGTTAATGTATTTATCATATTAATCATAATTAATATGATACATTTTGTCTGTTGTGGTCTTTACCCGAGGATTGTATAACTTTTGAAAGATAACCACGGACTACAAGTTGTAGTTCGTAATAATAACTATCGTTTTGTGGAGGTACCTGTCATGATAGTGATTAGTGGCGGCAAATATTATAACAAACAGGCCCGTGTTCGCTTGAACTACAAATATCCATAAATAGATATTCATATATAGATATTCTATTTGATAAAACAAAATTTATTAATAACAGCTATCGTAGTTGTAATTAGTGGTAGGCATAATCAAATGATTTCAACAATCGAATTAATAGTATTCGAGACATTTTTATAATCGAGAGATGTCTAGAAATAATCATTCGAAATGTTCAATAGAAATATAATATAATTTTATTTAAAAACGTTCTGAGAAATTTTTGTTGTTTTGTGGTTGAGTAATTCAAAAATTATAGCTATAGGTAATATAAATAACTAAGAATAACCGTATATCCATCAATATTTGTCTAACAACCAGTCTCATGAGTAGCACGAGTCGAAAATACAGACTCAAAGTGAACAACTAGTATTTACTTTTTCGATTATGAAGATTAAAAATAGTATTCCTCCCTCACTCCTTCGTTCCATGAAAATTATTCGAAATATTTTTTCATTCGATACATATTTCGAGATCAAGAATTCATTGTTTTTAAAATAAACGAGATAATCTTTCGGGTATATAATCGAATTATTATTTTGATAATCGAGATATCTTGATTACGCCCATCACTAGTTGTAATCAATAATGAGAAACAACGATACAATGACCAATGGAGCTATTACCCACATAACTTGTCAGTTGTTAAATGTCAATTGACGTTTATGTGATTTTGTGACCTATTTTTTGAAGATTTTTAATTTTATTATAAATTCGAAAAAAGGTGATAACACCAATGAAAGTGACAAAAAAAAAAAAAAAAAATCAAAAACGTTTCACACTACAGTTCTGATTATTTTAAAGTAATTTTTGTTTTGCATTTTTTTACCTTTTAAATGTATTTTCTTAATTTTTAGAGCATTTTTAACTATTTGTTCATAAAAATAAACGAAAATTATGAAAAAAGGATATTATCCAACGACAATAATTTTTGTTTCAAAATATAAGACAGCAAAGTATATCATTATACCATAGTAATAGTAATGTCGTTCAGATTAGTAATAATGACTAGCAAAAAAAAATTTTAAATATTAACATTTTTTTAAATTATGATTTAGAATGAATTAAAGAAAACAGAAGTTAATAGAAGTTAACAGAAGTAAACAGAACTAAACTAGTAGCAACGTACAATACTATCAAAAAATAAAGAAAATACACAACTATGGTATAATTTTCAATTTTTTTCCAATTTTTAAGCTATAATAAATATAATTGAAATCCAATTTTACAGTGCATTTTTTGAGATATTTTAGGATATTAAAATCCCAGCCCTAGTTATAACTTATTATTTATTTTATATTTTATAGTACTCTGTTGATTTTAAATTTAACTATGATCATGGGTACCCATAAGTACAACTTTAAAAATGAGCCAATTTTTGTTTTTTAAATTATGAGCTATATATTCTAAAAAAGGTAATACTTATTTAATTTTATATTAATATTATTTTTTTAGAGAAGGGAAGGGGCAAGTGCACAATCTTGTCTTTCCCAATGATCACCCATTACTATGATTATATATAAAAAACAAATTAAGTAAAATTGTTAAACCCCCCTTCAATAATTTCTAGCTATGCCACTGTTATTAAGATTTATAATTTTAACGTAACAATAGTAGGGGGACGCTAAAATCTCTGAAAATTAGTTAGGGTACTCCGTTCCAATGCGCAAGTGGAGCACTGTTAGTCAGATGATTAACATACATGTATGTTTATCGACGTATTACATACAAGTATACGTATGATATATTTTTATCATATTAAATAGACGTACACGTTGAATAATAATCTTTG